TTCAAGAAATATTCTCTGATGCTGAAATACTATATTGCTGAAATATATCTGCACTCAGCTACTTTCTATAACCAGGACAGGAAATAAGCATAAAATGTATTTTTATTTTATTTTTCATAATTCTCTCTTTCTCTCTGTCTGTCTCTCCATATGCTATATTACTAAATAACATTTACCTGTCCATATTGGTTGCTGCTGCCATATGATCCACCCTGAACAGAAAACAATTATAAATTGAGAAAGGATTACTTTAATACATCTCAACTCATCCTATATTCAAAGACAGAAAACCCCCCACTAAGCTTTTATCTATATAATAGCACGCTATGTGTTACAACACACACACACAATAACAAAATACTTTTTACCTGTCCATATTGGCTGCCACCATAAGATCCACTCTGTCCACCCTGAACAGAAAACGATTATAAATTGAAAAAGGATTACTTTAATACATCTCAACTAGCTTCCTATATGCAAAGGCAGAAAAACCCCACTAAACTTTTATCTATATAATAGCACATTGTTTATTACTATACAGTGGTACCTCGCAAGACGAATGCCTCGCAAGACAGAAAACCCGCAAGACGAAAGGGTTTTTGGTTTTTTGAGTTGCTTCGCAAGACTATTTTCCCTATGGGCTTGCTTTGCAAGACGGAAACATCTTGCAAGTTTGTTTCCTTTTTCTTAAAACCGTTAATACAGTTGCGACTTGACTTCGAGGAGCAACTCATAGCACGTGGTGTGGTAGCCTTTTTTGAGGTTTTTGAAGACTTTGGTGATTTTTGAAGCTTTTCCAAAACTTTTCCGACACCGTGCTTCGCAAGACGAAAAAATCGCAAGACGAAAAAACTCGTGGAACGAATTAATTTCGTCTTGCGAGGCACCACTGTATTGCGAGGCACCACTATTATATCTCTCTATCTATCTATCTATCTATCTATCTATCTATCTATCATCTATCATCTATCTATCTATCTATCTATATTACATATACTAGATAACAAAAGGCTTTTTACCTGTCCATATTGGCTGCCACCATAGGATCCACTCTGTCCACCCTGAACAGAAAACAATTATTACCTTAATAATATTACCTTAGCACATGTGCAGTGCAATCCTACCACTGGCTAAATGGGGTTAGGAAGGAGTTTGTCTCCTTTGCTAGAGATGAACTTGGGCAGCAAAGGACATGGGGGTTCCTGTTATGCCCTGTTATGTTCCTCCATGGTCATACAGAAACGGCTGTGCCTTACAGTGGTGCCTCGCAAGACGAAATTAATCCATTCCGCGAGTCTCTTCGTCTTGCGGTTTTTTCGTCTTGCGAAGCACGGCTATTAACGGCTTAGCGGCTATTAATGGCTTAGCGGCTTTAGGAAAAAGGAAACAAACTCGCAAGAACTCACAAGACGTTTCGTCTTGCGAAGCAAGCCCATAGGGAAATTCATCTTGCGGAACGACTCAAAAAACGGAAAACCCTTTCGTCTAGCGAGTTTTTCGTCTTGCGAGGCATTCATCTTGCGGGGCACCACTGTATTTTGCTGGCGTTAGGACTCAAAACAGAGATTCAGCAGGGGAAAGACAAAGGGGGCCTTGGGCCCCCTTGATCCAAGGCCTCCTCATTTGCCAGATGGGCTCCTGAATTGAGCTCTTACCCTCTGTTAGCATGGAGCTGGCCATACTTATCTCCTGCCCATTTCCCAATCGAACTGGGGAAGTGGGGATTAAAAACAAAATAAAACAAAACACCCACCCAGCAAAAAAGAAAACACACCGAAACACCATCTACTCTAACCAGCACAGGCTGGCAGGGTTTTGGAAGTGATGGCTATTCCATCACTATTCCAATTCAGTTTAGGATTGAATTCTAAGCTACTTTTATGTGGAGGATCAGAGTAATAATAAAAAATATGTATACCATTGTAAGACCTCATATATATTACATTTAGTGAAGGACCCCTGGACAGTAAAGTCCAGTCAAACTTGACTATGGGGTTGTGGCGCTCATCTCGCTTCCAGGCCCAGGGAGCCAGCATTTGTCCAGAGACAGCTTTCTCAGCTTTCCAGGTCATGTGGCCAGCATGACCGAACCGCTTCTGGTGCAACGGAACATTGTGACGGAAACCAGAGTGCACGGAAACACGATTTACCTTCCTGCTGCAGTGATACCTATTTATCTACTTGCACTGGTGTGCTTTCAAACTGCTAGGTTGGCAGGAGCTGGGACACAGCAACGGGAGCTCACCCTGTTGTGGGGATTTAAACCACCGACCTTCTGATCAGCAAGCCCAAGAGGCTCAGTGGTTTGGACCACAGCACCACACTCTCCATTACTTATACACTGTGTGTTAAAAGAGTTTTTACCTGCCCATATTGGCCGCTGCTGCCACCATGCGTTCCTCCCTGTGCAGGAGACATTTTTAAAAATACATTCATGTATCTGCCCTAAGCAACTCTCAATATTTAAGAGCAAAATAAGCATTAAACAGATTTTATTTTCATGTCTCTGCAAATACTGTATATTTACCATGGTGTTGTATCTGGCTAAATCATACTCAGAGCAGAACCACTGAAATAAAGTTAGTCATAGTTACCTGATGTTGAATAATTTCAGTGGGCTTACTCTGAATATGACTTAGCTGGATGCAAGCCATAGTGCAGTATATACTCTGTACGTGCTATAAATTAAAAGTGCTTTTACCTGTCCATATTGGCTGCTGCTGCCATATCCGAACCGTCCACCCTGTACAGAAAATAATTATTGTAAAAAAATGTTGCTGGAAAGAAACCATATTGCTTTCTACATTCAGAAGCAGGAATAATCAGAAACGCTTTTAATATCTCTGGGTATGCTACTTGTAATGCCTATTAAAAGTTCTTGCTACTTATTAAAAGTTATTACCTGGCTGCCACCACCATATGATCCACCCTGTAGGAAAAAACAAACAATCCATACTTCAAAAAGGTTCTTGATGATCTGTTGTATTACACTAATATATGCACACTAAACTATTTTTTTAATGTTCAGGAGCAGCAAAAAAGCAGAGGGATATCTTACTAAGTCATACTCCAAGTAGACCCATTAATATCAATTAACTGAAGATGCTTAAGTCCGCTGACTTCAGTGGGTCTGCCAAAAGTATGACTGATGCTGGATATCACCCATAAAACCCATTTTTCCATTTGTTTTTTAAAATCTTAGTGTATAGTATTACTACATGATGCATTTCATATATGCTAAGTGTCAAAAAAGTGTTTTTACCTGTCCATATTGACTGCCATACGATCCACCACCCTGCGCAGAAAACAATGAATTTCAACAACAACAAAACAAATTGCTAAAGATGCTATATCACTTTAATAGGTCTGCACTGCGGAAATGCTGATAAATGCAAAAGTATCTACTGTACATGGGATGAGCAATCCCAAAATTGGGGGGGGGGGGCTAAAGTCAGACAAACTGCCATATTCATGTGGCTTTCCTATTTATTGTCTTCCCCACCCCATGACCAGGAAAAGTAGTCTTGTGTGAACCAGGTGTCCTATTACCTATATCAGGGTAACAGGTAAGGTAAAGGACCCCTGGATGGTTAAGTCCAGTCAAAGGGACTATGGGGTGTGGCACTCATCTCACTTTCAGGCTAAGAGAGCCGCTGTTTATTCACAGACAGCTTTCTGGGTCATGTGGCCAGCATGACTAAACTGCTTCTGGCGCAATGGGACACCGTGACGGAAGCCAGAGCGCATGGAAACACAATTTACCTTCCCGCCGCAGCGGTACCTATTTATCTACTTGCACTGGTGTGCTTTTGAACTGCTAGGTTGGCAGGAGCTGGGACAGAGCAACGGGAGCTCACTCCACTGTGGGGATTCGAACCGCCGATCTTCCGATCAGCAAGCCCAAGTGGTTTAGATCACAGCACCACCCACTCCCTCCAACCTACAACAACGTTAAATGAAGTCTAAATGAAATCACATGAGACAACCAGTTTGGGAACAGTAAAGAAAAATAGTTACCTGTGCACCAGGGCAAAAACATTCTCCCTGTAAAAATACAAAAGTTAGCTCCATTTTTGTTGTAAGAAGTCAGATGAAATGCAATTCGCTTTCCCAGAAGTTTATACTGATAAAAGGGGAGCAGCAAGATTCTATGGATACTTCTGCACATTTTAAGTAACATGTGCAAATTCGAAAAGGATTTAAGTTGTAATCTATTCCTGCATGGGATAGGAGTCAAGCTCCAATGTTGCATCAGCATCTGGGGGAAAATCCACCTACTGAATTTCTGAGGTCAAATTGATTTCTGTTTTCTGATGGAATATCCAGCATGCTGTCACTTGATGGCGTCAGGCCCAATCGCCGTGCAACCTCTAGGCTGGTGCAGCAATTTGTCTGCTTGCTGCCCCAGTGAGTTTGAGCAATAGGGATGTGAATGTGGTGGCAATGGCCCCACACCCTGTCGTGTTCCACCCCTGCCCAGCCAGTTATTTAAAATTTTATTGTATGAATTTATGTGTATTGAGATGCAACTTGCCCTATAACCCGTGAAACTGATGAAGGGCAGGATATGAACTGAGAAAAAGCCTGAAACATATACGTAGGCAAGTCACTTGGGATAATCTTAAGATTTTCTTTGAAATGCAGAAGAAAAGGAACTACAGTTGCCCAAGTGTCAGAAAGAGGCTGGTTGTCAATAAAAGGTAGCGAGGCAAGGAAATTGAGGATTGGAGAAACTGAAAGCTGTAAGGATGAAAAATGACCGGAGAGGAAATTGACTGGGAATTGGGGCGGGGGAGCAATTGAAAGAAGGAATAGAAACTGAAGTCTCCTCACTCTCCCATTAACGTTTGGATACAAGAAACAGTTGAACAAGGTCCCATCAAATTTGCTTACCTGCCTATTGGCATAAGCCACAAATGATCCATCCTATAAAGAACAAAGTAAATTAAAAACAAATAGCATCTCAATATAGAGTTCATTCTTCTATCTGCACTTAACTGTTCGAAGTGCTGCTTACTGCATGTGTTTAATTATTTCATCGCACCAAGCTCTAGCATTATTAAACATAATTTGAATTTTGAAGTATTTAAAGCAGATGTTTATAGGTCGATGCACACACTGTGGTCCATGTGTTAGTAACCTCGAGGCTGGATTACTGCTATGCGCTCTGTGTGGGCCTGCCCCTGGGCCTGGTTCAGACGTTCCAGCTGCTGTAGAATGCAATGGCCAGATTACTGACAGGACATCTGGCCGACAACATTTGCCACAATTGTTAATGCATCTGCAATGGTCGCTCTTCTACTCCTGAGCCAGGTTCAAGGTCCTTGTATTATTTCACAAAGCCCAGAACAATTTAGGAGCACCTCAGCCCCAGCACAGTCGCTGAGCTCAACTGCAGGAACGTTGTCAGTTGTGGCCTGAGTTGGCGAAGCTCATTTGACAGAAACAAGGAACCGAGCCTTTAATGTCATTGGCCCGGTATTACGGAATGCTATACTAGCACAGATTTAGCAGGCGCCTTCGGTTTCAATTTTCAAATGCCTGCTGGAAATGTTTCTATCCTGTCAGGCTTATGTAGATAATTAAGAACAAATCTTTCCACAATGTATGGTTGATTTCTGTTTTTATATTTATTTTATATGTTTTTGATTGAATGGTTTTATGTACAATTGTTGTAAACCACTTTGATTTTTTTGGTCAATAGCGATATGTGACTATCTATCTATCTATCTATCTATCTATCTATCTATCATCTATCTATGTATCTATCTATCTATCTATCTATCTATCTGAGCAACAGCGCCATAATTTGTCTTTACAAGATTATCATGCTGCTGTACAGTGTAGGTGGAAGACCCTAGGATTTGCTGCTGACCAGTGAAAGTTCTTCCCCCTGGAAGCTAGAATGTCAGGAAGCAGCCTATGCCATAATCAATCTTCCTGCTAGCAGCTGTCGAAAGAGATGTGATTTCCTCACCAGGGTCCTCCTGATTTTCATTATGTCATAAGTGCTATCCTATATGACCAACAATATACACCCAAAAGTGCACCTGGAGGCACCTTTGTACAACTTAAGAGCTCATGTTACATTCCAGAAATTTCTGTTTTTAACTTTCTAGCATTGTGCAATAACAATATGAGGCAACATAAACAATATGAGGCAACGTAAGTTATTGGGTGAAGACAGAAAGAACAGGGAAGAAAGATAGCCCATATTGCATCCTACAGCCACAGGGTGAGCCCAGATTTGCAACTCAAATGCAAAGCAATGAACTGAAGACAATATATATTATTATCAATAAATTACCTATACTAAGTAATAAACTATGCCAGCCCACCACTTTTAAAATGTTCTAAGATTGCTGCATTTTTCAGCTTATTTGCTGTAACTAGCTTTCCCTTTCAGAACCAGATTTGCATTTTTTTCATAATGGAATCCTGGAGAAGAATATATTCATTTGGACTACACGCACTGAGTATATTTCCAAATAAACTCTGGTGCTTCATATTTCTTACATAAATCTTTTCCTGTGGGTTCAGATTTTATTTTATTTTTAAGCCTAAATTGTGTTTTGGAAGATCATTTTTTGTTGAGTTTCTTTTCGTTTTCTTTTGCATAAGATTAACGATTTCATTAAAATTCCTAAATTTATGCCACGTCCTGATTAAAAGCATAAAGACCCTTGATTTTTTTCCACCTTCAATAGGAGAGTGTATACTCCCTGGAGAGTTGCTTGCTCTCACTGTCTTTGTATGAACACCAGAAAACTATAGAAAGTTAGTGGTAATTACTCTTGGATCAGAGTTGTTTGAAGGACCATTAGATCAAACTGATCTACAAGGGGAAAATTCTTACCTGTACATTATGGTTTTCGTTATTATAAAAGCTTTCACCCTGTGAAAGATGCAAAATAATAAATAAACGCCATGTATTTCTGTAATGTAATTATCAAAATATTTTAAAACTTTACAAAGAATTAGTCTATGGCCATTAGGATATACAATAAGAACCAAACAGTCTGACGTGACTGAAATAAAGAAACGTCAAGAAAGTCTGACAGGATTGTGTAGGGTATGTACTAAAGTGAAAGCTAAATTAGTAATATCTGGGGAAATTAATTAAAAGGACCACTGTAGTCAGGAGCCAGAGACTGTAGAGGTTATTTATTTACTTAATTTCTATCCCACCTTTTGATCGAGAAGTACCCTCAAAGCATCTTAAATAAAATACTACAATGCAACGATACTGGGGCTGCTTCTACTTCCTCTGGGACCCAAAATTGCTCAGGGGTACGACATATTTGTTTTCATAGGAATTCACTGTCCAAAGGATGAGAAAGAGGAACAAGTCTGTCTCAGGTGAACTGCTGAGCGTTCGCATTTGGATCTTTAGCTGCCTGGTTCGTGCTTCTTCCTTTCATCCCCTAGATCTGCAAACCATTTTTACTCTCTGAGGGGAAGTTCTGTTTCTTGGACAGGAGCCTACCATGTTGCAAGGCAAACCATTTTTGAAATGAAGAGGAATTTCAAAAGCATGATACGTGGTGGGTGGGTGGGTGGTTCTGCTGCCCACTGCAAAAAACAGTCATTAAAAAATGCACCAGTTGTTCGCAAGTCCTTGAAAACTCCTAATATTGCAGTCTGAGAGGATGCCGATTTTGGTAACCGGTCCTCCTCTATAACAAATAGGCGGGCATGATTTACTCTGCTCCAAACCCTGGTTATTAATCCTTCTGAAGCAAGGTTCTAGCTTGCCTGAGCAGCAGTTAGTATAGTTCCCAACTTGCTTGCCAACCATGTTTAAGGTGAGATGAAGAAATTTCCTCAGGGGAGGAAGTGTGCATGGCCGATTTCCTAGCTGCAACACACATGTGCCCAATTGTATCTTCATTTGTCTCTTAATGAGCTCTTCGCACGTAGCGCCACACCACACAGACTGGGCAGGCACAAGTGATGTACAATGGCCTAATTTCAAGTCCTAGCTAGTATGTTTCAATGAAGACTTGATGGGAGTGGATGTCCTTACCTGGCCATAGGTATTGATACTTGGTGGATTAGAGGTTTCATTCTGTAACAAAGGCAGAAATTTCAGAAAGCAGAGTTATTTGCTTGCCTGAGCAACAGCTTAAATAAACGAAACGAGGCGAAGGAGGAAAATCTGCCCGTTCACTGGATTTTCAAAGCTATAGAAGTTTGAGAGCCCAATCAGTGGAAAGGCAGCACCAAAGTTACAAAGGAAATGAAAAGGCAAGTTGTGCTCCTTTCAGTAGACATTGTATTCATTCGAGAATTGACAATGCATCTTGCATTTGATGCCGAATTTTGACGGTGCTGAACGCAAGCCATGTTTGCAAAGGAACAATCAGGAGCCTTGGGTCCAAATTGTTCAATGGCAAGAGCAGGCTCCAGATTGTTCCTTTGCAAACATGGCTTGCGTTCAGCGCTGCTTTGCACCTGATGATATATGATGCTGGGTGATTGACAGATAGGTGATTCCACCCATCTGTGAAAGGTGGACCATGAAGGGTTGGCCATAATTGAATCTGGACCATTGATGGAAAGGGGTTCCCTACCCCGATATATAGAGACACATTGTATAAAGTAGGTATAAATAATCCTAGAAGTTTTCAGGAAACATCTTCTGGTTTATTTGATGTGCTTATTTAGACACATGTGCTTTTTCTTTGCCATTAAGAGCTGTCTGGTTTGGGGGGAAGCTCCCCTCCACTCTGCTGCAAACAGCAGCTCAGTGGACAATTATATGCATGTAGGTTTTAAGTAGGCAGTGCTGAGTCAATGAGGCTTTGTTTGACGAAGACCTGTCTGAAATAAGGCCCAAATCATTTCTGCCATTAACTACACCGTAGGGCTGCGTTTAGCTCTCCTCACGCAGCCCAAACAACACTTCTTCTTTTATTTTATTTGTAATTTGTTTATTGAGATTATTCCACTGAGTACAGTAACACACATATAACACAAAAATTGAAACATAAACCTAAATATGTCTTTTGCGGATGGCAGCATGAAAACACAGGAGAAAGCTGAGTGTTATCAGAGAAAGATTACATCATGTAAAAAGGTAAGTTCAGAGATAGGGATTAGTTAGACCAGCCACATGTTCCAAAATACCACAGGTACAGGTCAACCTGTTCCTTCTTGATTTGTAAATGTTATAACGCTCCACCAGTCTGCAGCGAGAGAGTCTTGCTTCTTCCTGCCTCTTGCTAGGCACAAGCGTTGTGTTAGCTTCTAAGTTAAAGCTATTTCCTGCACTTTATTTTAACACCTCTACAGTACAAACAGTTAATTTTGGCACTAGCAAATACAACAGGCGCTGAAGAGTCAAAATGAAGAAAATGGTGTCAGGCAGTTCTTACTTTTTCACTCCGAGCTGCTCTGATCAGAGCGCGAGCCTGCAGAGAGAGAGAGACAAGGGAAAGTTTTAATGTCTTGCTTTTATCTGAACGAACATCAAGCAAACTACTGTGTACCATACTAAGAGTTTGGTTAGCCACTTTGCAAAATATGATGTGGGCCACCTGAAGCTCAGAAATAACTGCAGAGATATAACAAGGCATCAAATTTTGAGTGAGCTCTTCTTGTATCTTCCCCATCTCTGAATGAGTGTTGTAGGACAAAGCCGATTAGGAGTTCTGCTCTCAACATAACATTTTATTCCAGTACAGTGGTACCTCTGGATACGAACAGGATCTGTTCCGGAGCCCCGTTCGCATCTAGAGGTAAACGTATCTAGCGATGGAACATCTGCGCATGCGCGCGTTGCTTTTCGCCACTTCTGCGCATGTGCGTGACGTTATTTTGAGCGTCTGCGCATGCGCAAGCGGCGAAACCCGGAAGTAACACGCTCCGTTATGACTGTACAGTGGTACCTCTGGATATGAACGGGATCCGTTCTGGAGCCTCATTCGCATCCTGAAGTAAACGTAAGACGCGACTGTGCATCTGTGGGTTGCGTTTTGCCGCTTCCGCGAATAACGTCATTTTGAGCGTCTGCGCATGCGGCGAAACCCGGAAGTAATGCACTCCGTTACTTCCGGGTCGCCGCGGAGCGCAACCCGAAAATATTCATCCCGAAGCTACTTCAACCTGAGGTATGACTATAATTCAGGCTGGGTGGGAGGAACATAGAAAGAAATCAGTACTGGGGCATATCTTCCTACTATTTTATTTATTTTTTTAAATTTGGATTGGCAGAGAAGATTGAACGGGATGGGACTTTCTAGAGCAACCTCTACAATCTCCCTGAGCTGAACGCTAAAACAACAAACAAAAAGGATTTGAAAGATAGTGCAAAGGAGAATGGGAGGAAGCCAACACACACCACTGGGTTGGAAACATGCCATTCTCAGGGTTGTGGGTTTGAGTCCCATGTTGGCCAAAAGATCCCTGGATTGCAGGGGGTTGGACTAGAGGATCCTTGTGATCCCTTCCAACTCTACAATTCTATGATATATACAAGTAGCGCTTACTTTTTCACTCCGAGTCTTTCTGGTGAGAGCGCTTTGCACACTCCGTGCCTTTCTGATTACAGGAAGTGCCTTGGGAAGTAAGGAAAGAAAAGATTAGTTTTAGATAACATTTATGCTTATAGCTGAGAGCAGTGCTCTTCAACATTCCTATGTTCAGGGAACTTTTCCACATCACCTTGTCCACTGAGGAACACCTGCCTTTTACAAAATATTGTTTTAGGTAGGCCTGCAGGGCCTCTGCATTACTCTGTATAAACCTAGCATACACCTTGAAACACACTCAACACTCTTGTCTGCAGTGCATTATAAGGGAGAATCAACAGCAGTGGGAAGGTTGACTTCCCTCCACTAGATGTGAAAGAGCTGGGTTCAAATCTCTGCAGTTAAGAAGCTCACCGCATTTCTCTTTCTCAACTTAACCTAGCTCAAAAGACTGATATATTTTGCCACACAAACTGGCCAATTCACCCATGAGTGTTCAGGCTCCATAATAAAGTTGGCGCCATCTATTAGTGAGGTCTTTCTGCTTACAGAGCACATCCTCAGGAAGAGCATATCATACAAATGTGCACATTTGCATATTAAAAATGAAGCATACAACATCAAAGACGAGAGAGAGAGAGAGAGAGAGAGAGAGAGAGAGAGAGAGATGTAATATAAAATTATGGAATAACTGTTTTTTTCTTTTCTATTTGTCTGAAAGTTCTGCTTTATTATCATTTGGTAAAACTAGCAAGGACCAGTTAAAACTGCCTTGGTCTGATGCCATTACAATATCTCTTTCAGGAAAACTAGAACTTCTTGGATGAAGGCTTGGACTATACAGAGGGGACAAATATACAAGTCAAATAAAAATTATTATAATGTCACATTAGGAAAAGTGCCTAGGTACACAACACCACAGAGAATACCATGGGTAGCTAGAACCAGGCAGTTTACAAATACCATAATCACACCATGACCCAACATGAAGGGTAAAGATGTATGACTAAAACTCTCTGCTAATGTACATGAACCCGTGTGCAGTTATCTACTTCCTGAAACAGTTTTTGAAAGCATTTATTCTCTTGACCTCAAAGCTGGCAAAAAATCCTGCATCCTGTTGATACAGCTACATATATTTATACAATTTTAAGAGCATATGAGCCAGTGCTGCCAATAAAATCCAATCCTGCTGACTCTTTTAAGAGTTAAAACTGAGATTAAGGTCATGGGTAGTGCTTACTCTTTTTTCCTGAATCTTTCTGACGAAAGCTTGGAATGCCTCCTGTAAGGGGAAAACATAAACCCAAGTTAGCAGATGCTGAATGAATCCCTCTGTGGCTTTGTTTACACAAATATGCTCTTTAGAAGCATATTTGGAGCAAATCCAACATGTGGAAATCAAAGAGTACTTACTTGAGCTGCTACGTCCCTTTTGCCTCTACAGTTTGCTGAGCTCTGTCGAGATAAGTGGCATGGAATGAAATGAAAACAGGAAGCTTTTTTAATTTTTTTAAATTAAAACGATGCCCACTCGATTTGTGACCCATGAAAGTGGAAGCTGAACTCAGCCCTCAGGTCCCTGACATTCCCTGCCCCCGAGGCAATATGAAATGTGCAATGGTCCAAATGCAATAGATTAATGGAAATCGCTAGCGCCACAATTGTGCAATAGTGAGCAATTGTGCAGCGGCCTTGTGATATAATAAGTAAAGGCAGCCAGCTTTCTCTCATACCTGGAAGGCTACAGAAAATTCCATTCCATTTAGTAGTGCAGCCATATCAAGATTTGAATTATCACTTCCTTCACCAGCTGCATTTTGAAACAGCCTGTAACAGTTGCCAACTCTAGAATATTTGTTAGTCAAGTCTTAGGTTCCTGAGCATGAGTGATGATTATAGGGTTCAAATCTGAGAGTCATACTCTTCCGATTCCAAGGATAATGTGTGGCCCCCTAATTCAACTTAGGCAATGCCTTAAACTGATATTTTAAAATATTACAAATGAAAAATATTTACCACAGCTTTTCCTCCGTAAGTAGAGGCATCACCCTGCAGAGGGGGAAATAGTATATTGTTATATATTTCGAAAAACAGAACCAAGAGACTAATTTGTGATATCTAAATATAAGGTGTCCCTTGCCCAAAGCTAGGAATGCATCAGTAGTACTAACCGAAATGGTTTAGCATCCCCCTCCTCCAGGGAACTTTAAGGAACTGTAGTTCTTTAAGGGTTTAATGGGCTTTAGTGGATAACTGTCAGTACTTTGATGAAACAGGATTCTGTGGTGGAAACCACCAACATATATAGGTATAAAAGTGATAAAAGTGTATAATATCAACAGACCTAGCAATGTTTGTCAATCTGAAATGTGCCACTAGGGGGTGCTGTTCGTTAAAATGTGAGAGAAAGCAGAAGACAGCCATTTTTATATCAGATTCCATGTAGGTTTTAAAAGTTGAAGTACAGATATTAGAAACATAAAGAGTTGTGAAAATGGCTTTCCCCAGCCAAATGTCTTATTTTCTCCTGCCTTTCCTTTAGCCCGGCAAATTAATCAGGAAAAAAGCACTAATTTCATCCTGTATAATCATTTTGTGCAAATGTAATGCACTGCAAGACAAATGTACAGTAATGTCCTACCAGCTTTTAAAAATTCTAGTTTCAGTTGTATCACCTTATAATATCGAAAAGACTGTTTGAAGAATGTGAAGTAGAAGATTTCAGACAAAATAATATTCATGCTTATGATTTATTTATTTTTTAAATGAGTTGAGTTCAGGAAAGTAGAAAAGGTAACTGAGCAAGATGACTACGCTTAAAAAAAAAACTTTGAGGGGGGGGGAAACTGTGAGAGTATCCCTTTAGGATTTCATTTCAGAAACAAGTGAAATGTTATCTCCTGGGGATAATCAGCACATCACATGCCAAGTGTAAGGTGCAACACAGAAGGGCTACTCTTACCTGATCGCAAATGATATTGCCGTAACGTCCACCAGTCTGCGATCCCTGCCAAAAAGTAAAATAAGGAACCCAATTATTTACCATGAGAAAAACTGCATAAATATCATGGGTTAAGGAGCCTGGAACTGAAGGCTGCACACCAAGGAACACCAGAGGTTTGTTGCCGGCTCTGTCACTGGGGGAGATGGAGGGGGGGCACTGTCCCATGTCTTGCATGTTGTGTGTGTGATGTGCGTCCCTCCATGTTTGGGTACATGTAGATTGTCATCACCAGCCCAGTTCCTGAACTGATGGGGCACCGGCAGTATTTACTGGAAGACTGTGGGCATCTATTGGTTTTTTATGACTCCTTTGCATCTTCTACTTGTGTATATTTTTCCTGCCCTTCAGGGCTGAGCATGCCTTTTTCCTTGGCAAAGCAGAAGTGTATCTTTAGTTCCAACATCCAGCCTAAGTATAGGCTTGATATCCCCATCTCTCCATGGAATAATCTGCACATATGCTATAATATTAAAACAATGTCTTACCTGTCCAGACTGACTGCTGCCACCACCAAATGATCCACCCTGTACAGAAAAAAATACATCTTATTTAACAAAGGATTAGCTTAACCCAGTGTTTCCCAACCGGTGTTCCGCGGCACACTAGTGTGCCGCCGGACGTTGCCTAGTGTGCCGTGGGAGGGAGGCGGGCGAGGCGGGCTAATCCTCCGACGAGCTCCACCTCCAGACCCATTGCTCAAATCCTTTAACCCAGGAGGGCGGGGAGGGGGGGAGAAAGAGAAAAAGAAAGGGTGGAAAAAAGAAGGGGAAGAGAAAATATTTTTTTTAAAAAAGGAAAGAGAGGGAAAAAAGTGAGGGATGGAGGAAGGGGAATAAACAGAAGGGGAGGACAATGAAGAGGGGCGGGGCTTGGCAGGCAGCAGATAACTGGGGAGGGGGGCGCGGCTGGCGGCGGCTCAAGGCAGGAAGGGAGGAGCTGCCTCGCGGAGAGTCTTGGGCTGCAGAGATTTCCCGTTCAGGAGCGCGGGAGGCCACGCCGTGGATGGGAATCTCCTCCTCCTCTTCCTCCTCCTCCTCCAGGAGAGAGGGTGGTCCGCCCCACCGAGTCGGGCGTGCTCAAGCGTGGGAGCCTATAGTTAGAGCTCAGCTCCTTTTCTTGCCTTCCCCGCCCCCCCACAGAGCACATTTTCCTCGCCCCCCAACCCCCGCATGTAGAATAGAAGCCCTCCAGCCTCCACGGTGCACAAACTCTCCCCTCTGCAACGAAGCGCTTTGTTGCATATCTTTGGTGAGGTTTTTAGGCAGTCTTGGTGCACCTTAAATCAGCGCTAATTGCGCCTGGACGCAGTATTTACTTCCGAGTAGGCCCCCTTCTCTCCCCCCCCCCGGTAGCACCTGACGTTGCTATTCGTACCATCAGGTTTGTTTGTTGATAATTTAATTGTTTTAAAAGCATCATGCTAAAGAGCTCTCTCCCACCCCCAGACCCTTGGGCAAAACAGAAACACACACATACACAAACACAGAGATTGAGCCCTGCAGGTTTTATGAAATGAATGGATTCTGAATGCCTGTTTCAGTGGCTTGTCTGCCTTAGGCTGCTGGGCCAGACACCTGTTACACGGTGCAGTCCGTAAGCTGTGAGCGCTGCTACCTGCCGCCGAGACCATGTAACGACAGTCTTGAAAGACCTACATTGGCTCCCAGTACCTTTCCGAGCACAATTCAAAGTGTTGGTGCTGACCTTTAAAGCCCTAAGCGGTTTCGGTCCAGTATACCTGAAGTAGCGTCTCCGCCACCATCGTTCAGCCCAGACACTGAGATCCAGCGCCAAGGGCCTTCTGGCAATTCCCTCACTGTGAAAAGTGAGGTTACAGGGAACCAGGCAGAGGGCCTTCTCGGTAGTGGCGCCCGCCCTGTGGAATGCCCTCCCATCAGACATCAAAGAGATAACCATTACCTTCTATGCTGTTACTATTTTTTTTTTTTTTTTTTACATAAGTAAAAAGTGACCTTTCCCCATCTGGCATGGTGGTGTGCCTCGAGATTTTTTTCATGAAACAAGTGTGCCTTTGCCCAAAAAAGGTTGGGAAACACTGGCTTAACCTATCTGCACAAAGCTACTTCCTCTATTCGGGAGCAGAAATAAGCAGAGATACTTATTTGCATTTTATTTTCTGGATCTCTGTGTATACTTTGCGCATTAGCAAGTGTTATTGGTATTATTAATTATCCACCCTTCACCCTAAGGCCCCAGGGATGTTTACAACAATTAAAAAAACATCAATATGAAAACACAGTATTGAAAACAGTGTGTAAAACAACTTAAATAAGGTGGGCTCTGAAAATAGACATCTCAAGTGTCAAGGGATATATATATATACAAAGCGTTAAAGAAAGAAAGAAAGAAATCATTTGATCTTTAGAGACCCTTTTGAGTATCTTTATTGAGGTGTTCAATAAATTTATTACTGACCGGGGGGAAATATATCTGAAGGTTGCAATATCTCTTAGACCTGTTATGTTTGTTATTTCCTAACCTGTCAGTTTTGATATTTATTAACTGGTTCTACAGAGGCTGAACTTTGTTATTATTTCATATTTTGGTCTCTCTGTAATGGATGGTTGACAAAAGATTAGATTGATTGAGTGACCAAGCCCTGTATCATGTGTATTTTTAAAGTGTTTTTACCTTTCCATATTGGGTACTGCTGCTGCTGCTGCTACTGCCGTATGTTCCACCCTGCAGAGGATACAGTTTATTATTATTGTTATTTTTTAAAAAACAGATTTTTCTGCTGAGATACCAGCTTGGTTTAATACATCTGCATCAGCCCTGCAATGATATGGTCTCTGGAAGAGGCACTAGGATAGAGTGGATCTCCCTCTCTGAGGACGGAGAAAGAGAGAGAGATCTACACTTGGAGAGGAAGATCTCACCCCAGGTCCCCTGCCCAGAAGCATGGTTATCTTCATAGCCCTAACCTCATTGATGTTAGGTCAGAACTGCCATAATGGCAGAGGAGAATGGGAGCATGCCAAGAACAGATCAGGAGAAAGCACCCAGTCTGTGTTTCATGTGCTCCAGTCCGGAGCACAAAAGCACAGGAGTTCTAGGAACTGAGCCTCAAGGCAACTGAAGAGATTGAGTATGATACTACCCAGATTAGAACCACTAACATGAATGGATTAGGATTCATTTACTGGTAGGCCATTGATTTCACCGGGCCTACTTTAGTTGGCTACATCCCATAGATTTCTGGTGGACTTTTCTCATGCTTAAGGTGGGTTATAGGTAAAGGTAAAGGGACCCCTGACCATTAGGTCCAGTCATGACCGACTCTGGGGTTGCGGCGCTCATCTCGCTTTATTGGCCGAGGGAGCCGGCGTACAGCTTCCGGGTCATGTGGCCAGCATGACTAAGCTGCTTCTGGCGAAACCAGAGCAGTGCACGGAAACGCCATTTACCTTCCTGCCGGAGCGGTACCTATTTATTTACTTGCACTTTGACGTGCTTCCGAACTGCTAGGTAGGCAGGAGCAGGGACTGAGCAACGGGAGCTCACCCCGTCGCGGGGATTCGAACCTTTTGATCAGCAAGTCCTAAGCTCTGTGGTTTAACCCACAGTGCCACCTGCGTCCCAGTTAAGGTGGGTTATAGTTTGCTCTAAATTAAGGTTACCAGATTTTTTTCAATGAATCTGGGGACACTTTTCAACTTCCTACTAAATATTTCCTACTATTTCCTAAATATTTCCTACTAAATAGATTGATTTTGTCAGGGACTGATTTGTAAATCCGGGTTTGGTCACCATCCTTGAATGCAGTTTACAGTCATGGATTCCGATAATCCTAAACCTTTCCTCGTTCCCTGACATGCCTCCCCCCCCAAACCAGGGAACGATGCCAGCCCACAACTGTATTTCTGCCCTTGCAGAGCTATGTCATCTGCTGAATTGTAACTGGAAATCAGTAAATTAAAACAGGCAAATGAGAATAGGGCAGAGGAGGAGGGCATGGGCACAGTTCTGCTTTCGCACAACCTGCCAGGCCACTAGATGAGCTGGTTGGTCCACCTTTGTTTCTCTGTCTACCCCACCTTTAAAACCTACAGCCTATGAGTCTGTACACACCACACATTCACCCTCACCACCACAGTCCTTGGAGATGTAGTTTGTTAAGGGAGCTGGGAGCTGCAGGTCTGTGAAACTCCCAGAATTATTGGGGGGGTGTGTGTGCTTTAAATGTATGGTGGCTACACAGCCTAAGAACCCCACAGTAGTGTTGGATGCGAACTATAACCCTCTGTGTGTGTGTAGACAGATATAAAACACAGTCACACACAATGAAAGACCACAGACAGACACAGAGTCCTGTTCTCCAACCAGCATTCAAAGTGAATGGATGTCTTCTATGGGGTGACACAGCACCCCACATTTATGCTGTGTACACAATCTAAGCTACAGTGGTACCTCGGGATGCGAATGGGATCCGTTCCGGAGCCCCGTTTGCATCCTGAATAGAACGTAAGACAAGACAGCGTGTCTTCGTAGGTCGCGTTTTGCCGCTTCCGTGCATGCGTGTGACGCCATTTTGAGGTGTCTGCGCATGCGCAAGCGGCGAAAGCCAGAAGTAACACGCTCCGTTACTTCCGGGTTGCCGCGGAGCGCAACTCGAAAGCGTTCAACCTGAAGCACATTCAACCCGAGGTATGACTGTACTTTCTATATTCAGAAGCAGGTTTAAAAAAATAAAAATCTTATGGAGATGATAGATAGATAGATAGATAGATAGATAGATAGATAGATAGATAGATAGATGATAGATAGATAGATAGATGATAGATAGATAGATAGATAGATAGATAGATAGATAGATAGATAGATGATAGATAGATAGATAGATAGATAGATAGATAGATAGATAGATAGATGATAGATATAGATGATAGATAGATAGATAAATTACCTGTCCAAATTGGCTGCTGCCGCCACCGTATGACCCACCCTGTACAGAAAACATTTATTGCAAGAGGGTTACTTGAATATATCTGCACAGTTACTTCCTATCTCACTCTTATTTTATTTTCTATGTTTGTGTGTGCTGGCGTGTGGCCCTCAGAAGACTGCTCAGAAGGAAATGCGGTTCTTAGGCTGAAAAAGCCCCCCCCCACTGGTATATACTGTTTATTACTAGCACGTATATTATATACTCTATAAACGGTATATTACAAGTGTTTTTACCTGTCCAAATTGGTTGCTGCTGCCATATGAGCCACTCTGCAGAGAAAACGTTTATTTTAGAAGGATTACTTTAATATTTCTGCACAAAGATACTTTCTATATTATTTTTAGTTTTATTTCCTCTCTCTGTGTGTGTTGGCGTGTGGCCCTCAGAAGGCTTCCCAGATGAGAATGTGGACTCCGGGGTGAAAAAGTTCCCCCACATCTAGAGTAGACTGTCTATTACTAGCATATATATTATATACACTATAAACCGTCTATTAAAAGTGCTTTTACCTGTCCGTATTGGTTGCTGCCACCACCGTATGATCCACTCTGCAGAGAAAACATTTATTACAGGATTACTTTAATATATCCGCACCAAACTATTTTCTCTATTACTTTAAATTTTATTTCTTGTATCTCTGTCTGCTGGTTTCACAAGAGCCTGCCAGTCGATACCACATAGTTCAAAGATGGCGTTAACGCTTTATTAGCTAAAGCACAACCTCCACAGACTCGGTTGAGTGTCAGGCCTAATGAGCAGAGCAGCTCATTCCCAGTGGTCTGCCAAGACTGAAGGTCCCTGCCTCTCCATAGCCATCTAAGTACCATCCCTTCCAAGGCTTTTCCCAAGCAATCTGAGACTGTGCCTACATGGAGTAAACCTCTCCTCTGCCCTTTTCATGCCTCTTCTGGTTCAGGGGGACAGGAGCTTGTCGCAGCAGGAGAGGGAGACACCCATGCCTCTTCACCAGCCGGACTCATCTCTACCTCTTGGCTTCCCTCCTCTCCTGCTTCCGCTCATACTTCTGAACTTCCTTCTACCACAGCCTCTCCCTGCTCACTAAATCCTGTTACCTCCTCATGTTCCAACACCTCCTCCCCTCAGTCTTCTCCCTCTTCTCCCTCTGACCACTCTTCATCATCACACCACCAATCCCCGGGCTCTGAGTCTTCTTCCCTTGGGGGTTCCCTGGCTAGTTCCTCCCACCATTCCTCTGTGTCCAACAAGTCCATGACATCTGGCATATGGCCCTCGGAAGGTTGCCCAGAAGGGAAGGTGGCCCTCAAGACTGAAAAAGGTTCCCCACAACTAGGATATGCTATTAAAAGCCTTTTTACCTGTCCAAATTTGTTGCCGCTGCCATATGAGCCACTCTGCAGAGAAAACATTCATTACAGAAGGATTACTTTAATATTTCTGCACAAAGATACTTTCTATATTATTTTTAGTTTTATTTCCTCTCTCTCTGTGTAGGCGTGTGGCCCTCAGAAGGCTTCCCAGATGAGAATGTGGACCCCAGGCTGAAAAAGTTCCCCCACATCTAGAGTAGACTGTCTATTACTAGCATATATATTACATACTCTATAAACCGCCTATTAAAAGTGCTTTTACCTGTCCGTATTGGTTGCTGCCACCACCGTATGATCCACTCTGCAGAGAAAACATTTATTACAGAAGGATTACTTTAATATATTTGCACCACACTATTTTCTCTATTATTTTAAATTTTATTTCTTGTATCTCTGTCTGCTGATTTCACAGGAGCCTGCCAGTTGATACCACACAGTTCAAAGATGGTGTTAACTCTTTATTAGCTAAAGCACAACCTCCATGTGGACCCCGGGCTGAAAATGTTCCCCCACACCTAGAGTAGACTGTCTATTACTAGCATATATATTATATCCTCTATAAAATGTCTATTAAAAGTGTTTTTACCTGTCCGTATTGGTTGCTGCCACCACCGTATGATCCACTCTGCAGAGAAAACATTTATTACAGAAGGGTTACTTTAATATATCCGCACCAAACTATTTTCTCTATTATTTTAAATTTTACCTGTCTGTGTGGTTTAAATTTTACCTGTCCGTATTGGTTGCTGCCACCACCATACGATCCACTCTGCAGAGAAAACATTTGTTACAGAAGGATTAATTTAATATATCTGCACAAAGCTACTTTCTGTTCCATGGAGGAACAGGTCAATTCTGTGGCCAGGGCAGCTGTCTACCAGCTCCATCTGGTATGCTGACTGAGACCCCACTTGCCCTCAGACTGTTTGACGGGTGCATGGTGCATGATTTGGTTATCTCCTGCTTGGACCACTGCAATACGCTCTACGTGGGGCTACCTTTGAAGGTGACTCAGAAACTACAACTAATCTAGAATGTGGCAGCTAGACTGGTGACTGGGAGTGACCACCAGGACCATATACTGTAACACCAGTCCTAAAACATCTACATTGGCTCCCAGTACATTTCCGAGCGCAATTCAAAGTGTTGGTGCTGACCTTTAAAGCCCTAAACGGCCTCGGCCCAGTATACCTGAAGGAGCGTCCCCACCCCCACCCCCCAGCCTGGACACTGAGGTCCAGCGCCAAGGGTCTTCTGGTAGTTACCTCACTGAGAGAAGCGAAGTTACAGGAAACCAGGCAGAGGGCCTTCTCGGTAGTGGCACCCTCCTTGTGGAACACCCTCCCATCAGATGTCAAGGAGATAACAAACTACACAACTTTTAGAATACACCTGAAGGCAGCCCTGTATCAGGAAGGTTTTAATGTTTGATGCTTTATTATGTTTTTATATGTACTGGAAGCTGCCCAGAATGGCTGGGAAAACCCAGCAGGATGGGCTGAGTATAAATACTAAAATTATTTATTTATTAAATTATTATTATTATTATTATTATTATTATTATTATCATCATCATCATCATCATCATCATCATCACCATTTCTATTTCATTTTTACTTTTACTTCCCATATCTCTGGGATCTCATGTGGCCCTCAGAATGCTCCCCAGATGAGAATGTGGCCCTGAGGCTGAAAAATGTCCCCTACACCTAGAGTATACTATTACTAGCACATATATTAAATAAACTATAAACTGTATATTAAAAGTGGTTTTACCTGTCCAAATTGGTTGCTGCCACCACCGTATGATCCACTCTGCATAGAAAACATGTATTACTACCAAAGGATTACTTTAACATATCTGCACCAAACTACTTTCTATTTTATTTTTTATATCTCTGCGTACTGGCATGTGGCCCTCGGTAGGCTGCCCAGAAGTGACTGCGGCCCTCAGGATGAAAAAGACTCCTCACATCTGGCATACAGTACAATTTCGTCTTACACACATTTAACTTGTTTAAATTTAACCTTGCGCTGTTGAAGGCCGGCTGGCTGAAACCACAGATTAAATGCATGGAAGGTGAGGAACTTAAAAACTCTTTTTGCACTGTGCTTTCCTGGCGCAGAAATAACTTTTAATCTCTCTTCCTTACTTATCAGGCTCTGGGATGCTCTTGCGAGATCTCAGGGAAACTTGGACAGTCCCACGAGAGCATCCCAGAGCCTGGAAGGCAGGGCAGAGAGCTTAAAAGCCTTGCTTGTATACTATAACTCCCATATATTGCACATATTATATATGCTATATATGAAAAAGGTATTTTTACCTGTCCGTATTGGCTGTTGCTGCTGCCATATGAGCCAACCTATACAAATAATAATAATAATAATTGCAAAACAGATTTGGTGGCCACTTTAAAATCTCTGCACTAAGTTACTTTCTATATTTAGAAGCAGAAACGGAATAAAACTTTTTAGGAAATCCATCAGTTTTATTACACATCGAAAGCTTTTACCTGTCCATATTGGCTGCTGCTGCTGCCGCTGCTGCCACCGCTATATGATCCACTTTGTCCGCGCTATGGAGAAAACACGTATTACTTTGAAGTATTCAAAATATTACATTAGCAACTATTCCTGCTTAGACCCACTAAATGACACACAGGTGCTTCTGAAAGTACACATTCCTACAATTCCTGCATGGAGCCAGATGGCAGTACAGTCGTACCTTGGAAGTCAAACAGAATCTGTTCCGGATGTCCATTCAACTTCCAAAACATTTGGAAACCAAACTGCGGCTTCTGATTGGCTGCAGGAAGCTCCTGCAGCCAATCGGAAGCTGTGGAAGCCCTGTCAGATGTTCGGCTTCCAAAAACAGTTCACAAACCGGAACAGTCACTTCCAGGTTTGCGGCGTTCGGGAGCCAAAACGTTCAAGAACTAAGCTGTTTGAAAACCAAGGTACGACTGTACTGGATAAGCTTTCAGTGGAAGTGAATTATGTGGAGCGAGGCCAATTGTGTTTGCCTATGCATATTTTGTTTGCTTAGAAAAGTCTTCAAAAGGTGCCAGGGATTGCCTGGGGTCACATAGTTAGGAAGAGGTCCCATATTAAGGAAAAAGGGACTGAGTAACTCTTGAAATGGGGCATTCGAGAGCAGAAACTCCCTGCTTTTCTCACTGAAAATGCTTAACTGTGGACATTTGGTGTAGCTATAGCCTGGCGTGCTCTAGTCCATGGGGTCATGAAGAGTCGGACACAACTAAATGACAAAACAACAACAATAGCACACTCTCATCCACAGACACCTTGCTTGTGGTTTCACCTGTTAGTGTAAGATCATAGAAGACATAGAAATTTTACCTGTGGACAGTTGCTACTGCTGGTTATTTTACCGGTATAACCATCCTGGAAGGGAAAAAATAATACATTCTTAAGGCACTCTGGTTTATTTAAACTGTTGCTTAATGCATAATATGCTATCAGTTAAAGATCCAACTTCAAAAGCCAGCAGGGAAGTTGGCACTTGATAGCCAAATATCTTAAACTAAGTTAACAAACAACGAGAAAGGGACTTACCAGTCCACAAGGGTTATAGTTGCCTCCTTGGGAATATGAACCACCCTGTGGAAAGTTGGAAGGGAGGAAAAAACAACAGTTAATTCCTTTCAAGATATATATGTATATATTCCATAAATCAAGGTACATTCAGTCTAGGAAAGAATATAATTAGGGCTGCAGAACCTCTGGACCAAGGGCCCAAAGTAGAAGAAAATGAGGGTGGGAGCAGGAAATGACATCACGTGATTGGCAGGGGGAAGAATTTTCCTTAAAAAATGGCCTTATTTGAAGAGACCTGGTGGGCCAAATAAAGCCCATGGTCCAAAGGTTCTTTCCCAGTATTGCTAAAAGAGAAGCGAAATGATTTTCCAGTTGGAAATAAGTTGGTATAGTGGTACCTCGGGTTAAGTCCTTAATTCGTTCCGGAGGTCCGTACTTAACCTGAAACTGTTCTTAACCTGAAGCACCACTTCAACTAATGGGGCCTCCCGCTGCCACTGTGCCGCTGGAGCACGATTTCTGTTCTCATCCTGAAGCAAAGTTCTTAACCTGAGGTACTATTTCTGGGTTAGCGGAGTCTGTAACCTGAAGCGTATGTAACCTGAAGCGTCTGTAACCCGAGGTACCACTGTACTCTCCAAATATTAAGTGAAACAATCAGTCGTGATATCCGTGAGAATGTGTACTCTCCTTCCAGGAGGTAGAGCGCTGGAAACTGTTACATGGACCCATCATGGTCTGTGCAAGCATAAACCATACAAATGTGGACTTTTGCATTGTTATCGGCTTTTGTACAGGGAGCAGCAGCTATGTAGAACTGGGTCCTAGGCTCTTCGTGTTTAGGGATGGGGAACCTGTGCCCATTGGACTCCAACTCCCATCAGCCCCAGACAGAACAGCCTATAATCAGCAATGTAGTCCAGTTTAGACTTGTAGTCCAACTTAAAGGCCCACAGGTGACCCAAATGTGTGCTAGACCATAATGCTAATGGGGGATATACAATATGCAATTTACCTGTTTGCTTCCAGTTTGCTGGGATGAGCCGCCCTGCAAGGGAAAGAAGGAGGAAAAACAGTCTTTACTTGTGAAAGCGGACCTTTTCAAATACCAGATGGTGCAATATTTATTATTACTATTACTATTATTATTAAGTTAAAAGCAGATCTACCTGGCTACTCCCGTAAGTTTGTTGGGATGATGATCCGCCCTACAAGGGAAAGAAGGAACAAAAACAGTATTTTCTCGCAAACTGGGAGCTTTTCAAATACCAAATGATGCAGTATTATTATTAATAATACTAATACTTAGTCCATAATAATATAGGAAGGTTCAAAACAGTTCCTACCTGGCTACTTCCGTAAGATTGTTGAGATGACGATCCACCCTACAATGGAAACAATACAAAAACCAGTGTTTTCTTGGAACAGGGAAATGGCAAATGATGCAGTGTTTATTTTTTGAGCAAAATGGGTTAAAACGTAGGGAAATGAAGAGCCGCTTTACCTGGGAACTTCCATAAATTTGCTGGGATGATGATCCACCCTGAAAAGCAAATAATTTAAAATACTGTATATTGTCAGAATATAAAAAAAAAAGATTGGCACCTTTAACACCAACAAAAATATGAAACATTTGCAAAGGGAGTAAACGAGGACTGTATCCTGTATATAGTCACGTTACGCTGTATCGTTACGCAACGAGGAGGCAAACAACAAAGAATAATATAGAAATTTATGATAAATTAGAACCATTAAAAACGCCACATGAAGGATTATTTTCAGTAGGAATCTTTTACCTGGATACTTCCAGAACTTTGCTGAGATGATGATCCACCCTGTGGGAGAAATAATTCATAAAGACATTAATTTTGTTAAGTGTGGACCTGCGTCTACACTACTTTCGGTACGGTAGGGTGGGGTGCTGGCTTCCCCCACTGTGGGGGTCCCAAGTACATTAATGTGGTATTTCTCTCTGTACCACCCTTTTTAAATATGGGGACCAAATTAGTAGGTGAGAAGCAAGACCAGGAGACTAAATCCCAATACAAAATTACAGCTGCTGAGTCAGGGAAAAGATTTCACGATATTAAGATCCACGAGCCTTCAAAGAATTCAGAGCAGAGGAATCTTACCGGTTTGCAAGGATTGCCATCAGTTGTATAGCCCTAAGAGAAAATTATGAACATTAATATTAATCATCCTCCTCAAAAACAAAAAAATACTTTTTACTTCTGGAGGACATTTATTTCGATCTTTGACTCCATTGGTCGAGAAGAGATTGTGTCAATTAATTAAACTACTAACTGGGCATTAATTATCAAGCTGACAAAGACCTAATAGACAGACAAATATGGTCTGCACAGATAAATCAGCTATGCCTTTTACATTTGCTATGGTTCTTCAACCAGTATTTATTTGCGTGCCAAGGCTCCGTTCCCTAGTGGATAAAAAACAAAGCGACCCAAGTATTTTGGTTTATGGGTTCAAATAGGCCACAACTTTATTGGTTACAGATGTGAGCGGTTTGGCTTACACATTGGGAAAAGCCAGACTATATTCAAGCAAAGGCTTACCCAATGCCTAACCTCACAAAGTTGTGACAATTGCTGCAAGCTAGGCGAAAACCAAGTGGCTGGTACCAATTTGCCAAGTACCCGGCACCAACAATATGGCGGCCAACATTTGTCCATAGCAAAGTCATATCAGAGCAAAGCATGAAAAGAGGGTGGATGGGATTGGAAGATCCGGCGAAAGGGCGAGAGAGGAGGGCCGTGGTTAAATCTCCTGTGGCCACTCCTCCTACTGGCACTGATTGGTCAGCGGGGCCACACTAGGCGTGGCCCCATCCAACGCCGGCAACACGGCCGGGACAACATGGGGGGGGTCAACTCTCCGCCCTCACACCTGATCACTGCCGAGTCCCAGATCCCTGGCTGCAACACTGCCCTCCGGAAAAGGTGAGTGGGCTTATTTCATAGAAGGTATATTCCACTTGGTTTTGGGCTATATTTTCAAATACAAATACAGTGGTGCCTCGCAAGACGAAAAGAATCCGTTCCGTGAGTCTCTTCGTCTTGCGGTTTTTTCGTCTTGCGAAGCAAGCCCATTAGCGGATTAGCGCTATTAGCGGCTTGGCGGGCTTAGCGGATCGGCTGATAAGCGGCTTAGCGGATCAGCTGATAAGCGGCTTAGCGGATCAGCTGTTAAGCGGCTTAGCGGATCAGCTGTTAAGTGGCTTAGCGGATCAGCTGATAAGCGGCTTAGCGATCAGCTGTTAAGCGGCTTAGCGGATCAGCTGTTAAGCGGCTTAGCGGAGCAGCTGATAAGCGGCTTAGTGGCTTGGGAAAAAGCGGGGGGAGGAAAAAAACCTTGCAGGAACTCACAAGACATTTTCGTCTTGCGAAGCAAGCCCATAGGAAATTCGTTTTGCGAAGCACCTCCAAAACGGAAAACCCTTTCGTCTAGCGGGTTTTCCGTCTTGCGAGGCATTCGTCTTGCGGGGCACCACTGTACCTTGCAACTTATGCACATTTAACTTGTGCACGCTCAGCTTTACGTGCTTGCCAAAAGAATAAAATGGTGTTTTTTTTAAGGAGATGGGAATGGGATAGGTGTCCAGGAAAAAAAGACTTTGGCAATCGCACCCACCACTGAACCCAATGTGTGTTGACTAAACGTGATTTAGGCCCAATATCCAGAATGTAACGCCAACATAAGTTTAGAGTTGCCTATTAACTGAAAGTGGTTTACAAAATGAACCAGTTGAAAGCTAAGCTGCTGGCAACTGATGGTAACTATATCAACGTACAGTGCAAAAATTATTATAGAAATCTGAATTTTTAATTTTGAAACATCACCCACAATGCAATAAATCAGAATGGATACAAAAAGGTGTTTGTCAGGAACAGCGTCAATTTAAACCAGTCCTCGTATTATTCAATTTTCTTCATCTGCTTACACTAGGGACAATGAAACAAACCGTTCTTTAACACAACAAGATACGACACAATTTTGGCAAGTTCCTCTGCCACGCATTTGTGGCAATTCTTACCTGCCTGCAGATGCTACCTCCAGCTTTAGAAGAGGATCCACTGCTCACGACCGAACTTGAGGATCCACTGCCAACAGAACCAGGAGATCCACTGCCTCCAAAAGTAATAGAGACCCCGCTGTTGCCAACTGAAGTCGAGGATCCACTGCCGCCAGCTGAATTAGGGTATCTGCCGCCACCAACTGAGCCAGGGGATCCACTGCCGCCGAATGTCACAGAGACTCCACTGCCTCCAACCGAAGTAGAGGATCCACTCAGCTAAAGCCCATACACACAAAGAACCTTGTCAGCATTAAAGAACGCCATCACCTGCACTTTTCAACCTGAAATCTGTTATCTTAGGGAGGGACCCTTTCTGTGGTAAATCAATAGGAATAGCATGAAGACGGGCCATTTTCAATGGCGACGCCCCACCTATGGAACAGTCTCCCAAAGGAAATCAGGCAGGCCCCCTTTTTACCTGCATTCAATAAAACCCATGTAAAACTTCCCTTATTTATCCAGGCTCCGGCCAAATTTTTATGAATATTTTTACGCTGCTGGTTATAAATACTGCCTGTAGTGTGTTACAGAGCTGCTTTGAATTGGTTTTTAAGTAACGTTATTATTATTCTGGGCTGTTCTTCACACCCTTTGGGTAGGAAGGGCAAATTATAAATCTGAATGAATGAATAAATAAAGATTTGCAAAAGGTATGGCCACGGAAATTATAAGGCAAGGGGGGTAATTTCCAACTGCTGAAGAGAGTATTTCCTCCATATTTTAAGGCTACAGGAGTAATTAAGCAAATAATATTTGCTTCATATTTTAAAACTACAGAAAATGTTTTGGAAAACCATAGTATGTCATGAAATTATTGTGTTCAGAAAACATTATGAACGTGCACTTAATGTTGGCTATTTTTGCTCTGATCCAAGCAGGGACAAGACTCAAGACAACCAATTTCTGCATTTTAAAATGTGTTGTTATTCTAATTATTATTGATTTCTTACCCACCCTTCACCATAAGGTCCCAGGGTGGGTTAAAACTATACGAACACATAATATTTAAACCATTTCTCTAGTTAGATGTGCTGCAAAAAGGGTTCCTCTCGCTGATGCAACTGCAGGTGCAAATTCCTCTTTAAAAACTTAGGTAACTGAGCAATATATGACTGGCTTAAATCATCAAAATAAAAACCGATCGCACTTATGAACTGCTTACAGGGAGCGCACACACACACCATGCTGTCAACAACTTGGCTGGCACAAAGCATGTTGTTGTTTTTTAAAGAAGGTTCTGTGGATGTATCCCAAGAACTGTTCATGCATGCATGGGCAGAAGACCTCCTTGTTTAGGGAAGCTTATAATATTTGATGAATCATTGTATTTTAATATTCTGCTGGAAGCCGCCCAGAGTGGCTGGGGAAACCCAGCCAGATGGGCGGGGTACAAATAAATTATTATTAATTATTATTATTATTACTACTACTACTACTACTACTACTACTACTGTATTTTTCGCCCTATAGGATGCACCTTTTCCCCTCCAAAAATGAAGGGGAAATGTGTGTGCGTCCTATGGGGCGAATGCAGGCTTTCGCTGAAGCCTGGAGAGTGAGAGGGGTCGGTGCGCTTCAGGAAGCTCTCCGCAAGCCATGGGAGCCTGGCGCGAAGTCGCGCAGCTCTCCCACGGCTTGCGGAGAGCTGCCTGTATCCCGGGCGCCCCGGGCTTCGGGCAGATATCCGCAAGCCTGGTGAGACCGGCGCGACTTCCCACCGGACTCCCTAGGCTTGCGGATAGTAGCCTGTTCTCGGGGCTGGGGTCGGGGGAAGCTCGGGCTTCCCCCGCCCCAGCCCCGTGCCTGGGGGGGGGGATTTTTTCCCCTTTATTTCCACCCCAAAAAACTAGATGCGCCCTATGGGCCGGTGCGCCCTATGGGGCGAAAAATACGGTATATTTGGTGCGTCTGGGTTTCTGACATTAACAGAGCAGCATGGCTGTAGGAACTATCCAGCAGGAGTTCTTCCACACCACTAATATAACAATCTTCTAAGAACTCCTAGTGAAACCAGTAGGAATTATACATGGCTATTTACCTTAGAGCCGTAGGAACTGCCTCCCTGTGACTGTATACTCTGTAAAAAAACAAAAACAGATATTTTGGTCACCTCGCTGTGTAGAAAAAATGGCAGGCAATACTTCAACAGCTGCAGCAGAGAGAAGAAAGGAAGGAGGGTTTTCCACTGGCTGCCTTTGGCTCTTTCTCAGCTGTTATCTACTAGAAGCAACCATTCCATTAGTCCACAGAGCAGAAGGGAAGCAGGACCATTCCACCAGCTCTGCTACGAAACCATCTTAATATTGCTCCTCCTCCTGTTTCCATCCCACCTGGCCTTCATGACAACTCTTAACTTTAAGAACTGGTGCCTGACTTTGCTTCCCGCACCCTTTCCTTCTAATTTGGTTTTTTTTTAAAAAAAATTAAAATGCATACAAAAAACGTGGATTTCCATGCTATCTTTTTCTTTAAAATTTTTGCGGAATGTCTTCTTGCCGTTAAGAAAAATATATCACAGAGTTATGCAGAAATTGGGTGGAAAGTGACATGGGCTGGAAATAAACTAATCTGTCAAACCCTTATTGGAAGTGCTACAGCAGGTTTGGGAACCGTTGGCCCTCCAGATGTTGTTGGACTACAACTCCCATCAGTTGCAGAATGGCCCAGAATGATGGGATTTGTAGTTCAGCAACAGCTGGAGGACCCAAGGTTCCCATGACCTGTACTAGAAGCTCTAGACAAGCAGAAGATTCCTACCTGCACATTATTATTATTAAAATAATAATAATTTATTTGTACCCCACTCATCTGACTGGGTTGCCCCAGCCAGTTTGGGTGGCTATTAACAAATATAAAAGCATAAAAACATTTGAAAAGCAATTTCATTCATTGTCAGAAGAGTTGTAATTTCACATGGTACAGGCTAATTCACAACACAGTCATATACTGCGATCTCACATTCTGATCGTGTTCTCCTTTCATTGCTGTATTTGTTGCCTTGGAACTGGTCTCAAGGCTTTAAATGCTTTGGCAAAATGTTTTGCTACCTGTAGTTTTTCTCCACATATGCTAAATCTCTTTGCTAGTATGCTTAGAGCCTCTTAATGACTCCCCCCCCCAAAAGAAAAATCTTATCAAATATCCAAGTAGACAAGAGCAACATTCCAACACAGGGTAAGATCACAGAGCTCTGTGTGTTTTAACAGACAGATCTCTCAAAGGAGCAGAAATCAAGCTGCAGCCATATGAATGTGTTTACCATTTTACAGGCTTGGCTGTTGTAGGAGGATGAAGTCTGTGAAGTAGAAAAAGAAAGAAATTACTTCCTGAATTAACACAACTAATATGCTAACATGCAGAAAAATTCAGCATCCGTTAAAAGTTATCTGATGGGCATTGGGTTACTTTAAGACCAAACAAATCATTTCTTTGGAAACATAAATAGTGAAATAGTTAGGAGCCAGGGAGTTTATGCATAGTACAGATTACTATCTGTAGTAATTTACATTTTTGTGGAATTTCCTCAGTACTGATATACAACTGCAGACACATATACACTGGTGTTTTGTTTTGTTTTGTTTTGTTTTGTTTTATAAATGCTTGGTCCTTAAAGCAGTTATTGGAAGTTTGATCCATTATTGGTCATTCAGGTAGTCTTCCTTCCAAACTTATTTCTTGGACGAAAGGCCAACGTTAGTTAGTATCCAACTCAGAGGTGAAACAGCACTTACCTTATCACAAACTCGCCCAGGTTGTCCACTCTAATTGGGGGGGAAATAGAAGCCATTGTAAAACAAATCTTTCAAATGCAATATAACACCATGTTAGAATAAAATCCTGCACGCATTACAGTCAAGACTGTTTGTTAAGCAAATTTCTGATCTCGAATATAAACGCTAATTGGCTTTGTGATGCGAAGTGAACATTACCGAGAAACACAACTGTTATCATTTTTGTCACTTAGGGGGTTTAGTGCAGCTACACTATATTTACCTGGATGGTTATTCGGATGTCATCTTGGGGTTTTGAGCCCTGTGGGGGAGAATATGATAATAATAAAAACAACAACAGCAACAACAGCAACAATTTTGCAATCAAACTGCAGGCAGCAGAATGTCCTACAGCTACAAAGATTTCCTAGACGACAATTTTTATTAAAATAATTTAATAACAAAGGGCATATAACCGTGGCAAACTAGTCGCATGTCACACCTGCCCAGGTGACAAGCTAGATGGGAAAAATAAATATTTGTTGCATGAACAATTGGCAATCTCCCTCTCATAAACCAAAGCAAGTTGCCACAACAATGATCTGTACTGTTATAAAAGCATCGGGGCAAGTGCAATTATATAATTAAAGAGATATAAAGAGATAAGTTTCTTAGAAAGAGGATATAACGCATCCGAACTCTGCTTAAAACCAGAAGTATTCTATAGCAATTGTGTGCTTGAAAACTCACTTGCTTTCACTGAAGCTGAATTCTGATGTGTGTGAGAGAGATCAGGTCTGTTCCCACACATGGTTTGCACCATATCTTTATAAATTGACTTTTACAGGTCAGAATCCAGCACGCTCAGGGCAACCAGCATGACTAAACAAACCACTGTGCTGCTGGAGGTGGGTGTCATTTAAGAAATAAAAGTCTGACATTCCTTGTCTCTTTGGGGTCCACTTCACAAGCTTTAGGCTATGTTGTTGTATTTTGATTTTACAGATGGGAAAGTGAGGCTGAGAGATGATTATTGTTAACTTTGGATGGGCAAATATCTCTATTTTGGTCTTTCTTCATTTCTCATTTGACCACATTCCTCCACCAGATCGCAACTTTTATTTATTTATTTTGCTATGTATTATTTCTTCAGCGGTCAAGAGAGGAAGTTTACAGCTCTCATCCATGAGGCATGGAGTTTGCTGAATATTCTTTCAATGCTGAATTTACTAATTCTTCACAATCTGGGGAAAAAAAATTACCCAGCCATCGCAATGGCACATGCTGCTTTCATGGCTCCTGAGTTAGCAATTTAGACTGTAGCTCTGTGAAAGCATCCTAAGTAACACAGGATAATCTGCCAGTGCAAACAAGGACCAGAATCAAGCTGTTAATTGTTAAAGAGAAGCCTATAGATAGCAAAGAAAAATTAAAACGTACCTGGGCCTTGATTTTGTCCCCATATATAGTGCTCTGCATAGGAACCGGAAACTAATTAGTTCAGCATAGAGGAGTACCTGCCTTCTTGAAATACTTGCTAACTTTGTGTGTACTCCATTCTTACAAGTGATATCCCTTGTGCTGCATTGTTATTAATATTTGCTGGATAATATCCTGCTTCTACATCCTGAACCCTGTGTCATCATTACACTGAAGTGGAGTGTTCTAAGAAGCTAGCAGTTCAAAACAATAAACCTAATCCTCTCCCCTCGCTTCATTCATATATATTTTTGCATCATAGCGCTCATCTACAGTTCCTCTCGCCCCACAGCTCCCCATCCCAGTGGGGAAAACCACTCTTTAGTGCTCAGTTGAGCAAATGGCAATTCCCTTAGAGTGAGGGTTCCTGCCCCAAGCAGAGTAGAAGTGCTTACCTGAATGTGTTTGTATTTAGAGTTGGCCAGTTGCTAAAAAGGAATCAGAAACCATTTTATTTGTATTGCGTATGCACACATCATATCATTATTCTCATAGTCATGACTTTGTGCTGTGATAAATGATTAGGAAGAGAGGCTGGAAGAATGTTTCTTTTGTCAAAACAAACCAGCTGATAATTAGGGCGTGCTCGAAATGGGAATAAACCCAAAGCTGTTTCACGGAAATAAAAATGAATTGTTTATAAAGACTTTTAGGCATAACGATGAAATGAGAGTGTCCAGCAAAAAAAAGTAAATAATGCTTTATTTGAAAGCAGACCCCAAAGTTGTTCAGGAATGAACAGTGCAATCTTATGCGTGATTCATCAGAAGTAAGCCCCACTGAATTTAATCTTGCTGAAGAATCAGCTAAACAAATTAACAAAATAGGTTTTTTTTGCAGGGGGCATTTCATGAAAAGCAAAGCAGGAGTACAACATAGGGCTGGCATACATCCCAAATTTCCCGGACACAGCTGGGATTCAGCTGTCAGAAGCTGTGTCCAGGTGGAAATTGCTGAAATGTCCGGGAAAATCCAGACATAAGGCAAGAAGCGCAGATTTTGTCAGAAGTGTAGGTTTTGGCAAATTTTCTTATAAATTGCTCAAAAACGTATTTTTTAAAAAATACATTTTGCAAAAAAATAATAATTAGCAACTCTAGTACAACATATGTTGTAGTTCCACAGGTACCCATGCTTAAATATCACTTCCAGAAATAATTCCAGGAAGAATTCTTGCGTTGAATTAGTTTAAGAGCAAGAAAAATGAAAATATTCTTACCGATGAGTATGTGTTGCGCTGTGAAAACAACAGAAATACAAACAATTAGCCATTCCCAAATAACTTTCCCCACATTAATAAAAACCTCAAAGCAAAAAATGATATTTTAAAAGAGCTTACTTCGGGTGGGTAGGGCTGGCTGGGAGCATACACTATGACCTGCCAAAAAGTAATAATAATCAAATGACAAGTTAAATTGGGTTGATTTCAAAAGACATTTCCTGTTCTGCCTCAGGTGGCAAAACATCTTGAGCCATCCCTTCTGAGGACAGCATGGCCGCACCGATCTTCATCCCAACTGTTGCTTAAATCAGTAGGAAATTAGCTCAGAAAGAGATACATACCTTCCCTTGGTTTGAAACAGTTGAAACGGACTGTAAGGAAAACAGAAAGCAAACATTGAATACTTTTTGTTCCCTTGTGCTCAGCTGACTGGGCTGGAAGCATCAGGGAGTACTAGGACAGGAATAGGGAACAGTTTTCCACTGAAGGGTCACAGCCCCTTCTGGGCATTATTTCAGGGGCCGCATGGCAGTGGTGGGTGAAGTCAGAGGTAAATGGGGATTTTAGCTTTCTATAGCAGGCTAGTTTCTACACACATACACACACCCTCTATCCTCCATCCATCCAAGCAAACAGGAAGCATTATAGGAGTTCAAGGACACATTCTAAGCAGGCAAAAAAACACTCAAGCAGGGTGTCAAGTAGAGTTGGGGAGAGGTGTGGCCTATGGAGACAGTGTTCCTGGGGGCCACATTTGGTCCCCAACTTTGAGGTCCCTCATCCTTGCCCTAGTATTTCCTTTCTATGAGGCCTGTTCCACATTTTTGGACACCTTTGACGCAGCAGTACTAGTTGATTGCTCAGGCCTGTGAGCACTCCAATTGGAGAACAGCCTTTACCAAAGGTGTCATGGGCTTTGAAGACACTCAATCTCAGGACGAAAGGGAGAAAAGTGGAAAGAGGAAGGCATGCTTGGAAAACCTTCACCATGATCAACTCCCACCCGGAAACTAATGTCCACACTGTGGAAGGATGTGTGGATCCAGAACTGGCCTCCACAATCGCTTACAGACTCACTGTTAAAACCTTGTTTATGGAAGACAATCTTACTTGGCTACGAGTGATTGCAGAAGAAGAAGACGACGACTAGTTGATTGCTCACCTGTCCGTAGGAAGTGCCACTACCATAGCTTACACCAGGCTGCATAAAAAAGAACCTTCAATTACTTCTTTATAAAAGCCACGCATTTCAACAAATTGCTACGTTATGAAATTAAACCCATTTGCAATGGTAAGTTTAAAGAGAGAAGACAAGAATTCAGGAAAACAGTGTTGATTAAGGGACATTCTGTTGCCGATTAACCTTTAATTTAAATATGTAGATCTTGGGGAAACCCTTGTTGGTGGTTGGGAGAATCTAATTCAGATTTCAGACATCCAAATGAGCTAATGTGGAAGACACAATGTGGAGGTTTTCACTTGCACGACTATTCACTTGTCACACAAACGATCCATCACATAGCTAACCATGACAATAAACGTCTATGAGGTAAAGAAGGAGAATGCTTACATCATAGCAGCCAAACTTGTTGTAGATATTAGCAGTAGCACCCTGTATGGGGAAAAAAAACAGAGAACTGATATGATTCTTTGTTTTGGTCTGCTGGTAAATGGAATTTAATGGCATACAATAATATGGGTTCTGATGGCTGAGGACAACTGAAGTGGATGCAGCTGGGGGTGGGGGGTGGGAGGTTGAATATATACAGAATACAGAACTCCCACAAAGGCTGCCTAGATTTTCAACTACAATAATTGCACAGGGACAAGGTTTTAAATGAGAACAGAAAAATGTCTGCTTACCGCAAGGCATCCTCCACCTTTCTTTACACCTCCTTGGTACACTATAACTCCCTGTAAAGGAAGCGAGGACAGGTTATTTCTTTGTCAAAGACTTTATTCAATGCAGGCGTAGAAAACTGGAGTGCCTTCATCGCAATCCATCCAGTTTGGAGGGGATGGGGAAGCTTGCTTGAGAGTACAGCTGCTGTCCTTGGGAGCGACACGTGTAATCTGCAAAGACCCTGGAAACTGTCTTGGTGTAAAAGGGAGAATGAAACCCACCGAACGCTTCAAGTGTCTTCCTTGCTTCTGACACAGGTGAAGGACAAGAAGAGCTTTCATTTCCCCCTGTTCAGTCTTCATCCTCTTGCTCTAAATGACTAATTCACAACCAGGGCAAAGTGACAAGGGGACGCTGTTGCCTGTTGGTGTCTTGGAGATAATGGATGCTTCCAGGAGGGACTTAATTTGCAAACACATTGTTGGTATTTTTCAGTGTATCAGATTTTCTCCAGAAAGGGTAAATCTGAATTAAATTGTGGTGGGTGGGGGTTGGCATTTTGATGCCTTGGTGGGTACTAGCTTGGGGACCCCAATCTAAAATATTCTTAACTGGCCACAGAAAAGGTCCAGTAGCAGCCCAGAAGCTGGCTCCCTCACATTTATCCTTTAAAAGCCCAAACTGTGGAGTCTAATGAAGCAAATACCTTTGGGACAGAAATAGCTTTGCGTGCTGTTAAGACTGGTACATCAATGTGGAAAATATAAGGGCGTGGAATGCAACACATGGAAAACAAGGTACCGTGAGAAGAACAAAGGTGGCAGCAGTGAATTACTTCTATGCAATTCGCGTCGGACTATGTAGGTGCATATTTTCACAGAAGTGCACTAATTCACACAATCAAGGAGTCACCGGAAGGAATCGTTGTACTCTTGTTTGTCTGTGTAAGTGTAAATTTCTGTTCTGAGCAGTTGGGTGTGGTTGCGCAAGACCCAAGATTATTGCGAAGACGAGTGAGCCTATGAAAATGGTAACATATTGGGGAAAGCGGAGCTTACCTGGCCTTGAGTGCTACCACCCTGAGAGGAAAACGTTGAACCCTGTAAAGCAAAAAGGAATGAAAATGTGATGCTCTGTCCATCAAGCACAACTGTTAAGTAACAGAATTTCCACAACCCAGGACACAATGGCTTATTCAGCTTATCCTGTGTTTTATTTCACATCATTCTGCTGCTCTGCATCATTTGAGCAGTAATTCCACCAACTCTCCCTTGAACTCAATGGGATTTGCTTCCACATAAGCAGGTATTACTTAACTTGAGTTGCTCACATGATAAATGTGTGTACAGTTCAAATTATTATTATTATTATTATTATTATTATTATTATTATTATTATTTATACCCCACCCATTCTGGGTTTCTCCAGCCACTCTGGGCGGCTTCCAACCGAATATTAAAAACAATACACTGTCAGACATTAAAAACTTCCCTAAACAGGGCCGCCTTCAGTTGTCTTTTAAAAGTAAAATAGTTGTTTATTGCCTTGACATTGGCTGGGAGGGCGTTCCACAGGGCAGGCGCCACTACTGAGAAGGCCCTCTGCCTGTCAGCTTGATGGGGAAGGAAGAGCAATATGAAGAAGGGCCGCATATCGCTCAGTGGCAGAACACCTGCACTGAGTGCAGAAGGTCCTGATTCCCAATATGTCTGGATAAAGCTGGGAACATCTCCTGTCTGAAACCCAAAAGGGCCCTCTGCCAGTCAGCTTGATGGGCCAACAGCTTGACTTGGTATAAGGCAACGCCCATGTTTCAAATATTGGATTCACCTGCCCTAGATTCATGTTTGAGTCTTGTGAACAGAGGCCATGTCTGCTCAAGCATAGCCTCTGTTCACAATACCGCTGTGTGGCATTTTTGTCAGGTATAAGTGTCTGCATACACTGACAACAAAAATTAGCAGTGGTAATATTTATAGCAGTAATCCCAGTATATGGGGTGGCTTGGGGGCATAGCTGTCAACGTTTCCCTTTTTTTAAGGGAAATTCCCTTATTCCGAATAGGATTCCTCGCAAGAAAAGGGAAAAGATGACAGCTATGCTTGGGGGAAGTTCAATAGAGAAAGACAGAGAGTATGTGTAAAGGTAAAGGAAATAGCTTTCAGCAAATAATAGGAAGGCTATCAAAGGGCTAACATTGTCATTTGTGCCATATATTTTGAAAAAAAAGAGCGCTTACCTGGGCACACTTGCTGCTGCCTACATGAGCTCCTCCCTGCAAGCAATAAAAGGCATTTGATTTTTAAAGGACTTTTGCAAATGTAGTACAGTTTCAGGTTTAGCAAAGGGGGAGAGGAGAAAGCGCTTTCCCAGGCATTCCAAAGAAAAACAGAAGCGGGAAGATGGAGACAGGAAGTTGGAGCCACCAGCACTTCCTGTTCCTTTCCTTCTCCTCCATTGCATTAGGGCAGATGTAGGCAAAGGTTTCAGCACAAGAAAAGGTGTCAGAGAAGAAAAATACCGTCATTCTGCCAGCTGAGAACCATTTTGCTGCTTTTAAATGCACAGTAATGGACACAATGCATTAAAAAAGCAGTTGTGTCAATAAGGGGTATCATGGGAAATAAGGAGTTCAAGGATACTTACTGGTCCACAGTCTATTTTTATGATAACGGACTGTAAAGAAACAAAAATAATTACGATTTAGGAAAAGGGCTTGTGCTACAGCTTTTTTTTAGCTGTACGTATCATTGACATAAAAATAAATCACGTGAACACGTTCTGTCACATGACTGTATGAGGATCAGAGACTACATAGCATGTAAACCAGAGGAACATGGAGTGATACAGCTGTCCCTTCTACATGTACAGATGTCGTAATCACAAGTGCTCATCCTATCTAACCACACAATTCACACTTAGACCTTTCTCGCTGGTTCTGCAATCCGTGGGACTTAAAAGTTCGCCATCTGGGCCAAATTCCAGTCATAATAATGTAAGGGGAAAGTGCATGAAAATATCAAAGATTTATCATCTGTTCTTTATTTCAGCATACCTTCTTCCTACTTTTTGACGATACATTGGCTTTTTTAGACTCATCTTCAACTTTAGTCTCATTGGAAAGCTTAGGAAACAGGACTATGCTAGGAACCAGCCAGTACGTTTCAGCATCTTGAAAAACAGTCGCTCTGGAAAGAAAATGCAGTTGTTAATAGGTCATGGTTTGGATCAAATGGGTTTTTTGTGTAGTGTCAATAACAGGTTTTGCCTTATTGCTCTAAGGTAGGATTTCTGGTTGCAGTTTTTCCCATTAAATCCGAATACATGCATATTTCTTCTATTTTTAATGGACTGTTGTTATTCACCAAAACGATAATATCACATGATATGCCACACCATTCTGACATATAAATAACTTGTTGAATCAAAACTCTCCTCCCTCCCTCCTCTCCACTTTTCTAATACTTCTTTCTCCATCTACCCAATTATTAATAAACTCACATTCTATCTTAAGAGTGTGATTGAACGCAGGCTCCATCATCAGCCAAGCTTTTGCTCCCTGGTTTTGTTTACTGTCTAGCCTGATGAAGAGTTCTGGAGACCTCAGAAGTTTGCACACTATTTTGTACCATTTCGGTTGGCCCTAATGTACATATTCAATGAATCACCACACCAGCAAACCAGATGGATCACTATGTCATATGTTGGGCGGCCAGATGGGGGAAGAGAGAGCTCTTCCTGAGCCTTTAATAGTTGTGCAGAAGGGGGAGTTTCAACAGGTGTGGCTTGCATGTCACCCTATTTATATGTCTATCGAAAACATGCAACTTTCCCTGCATGCAGTATTATAATATTTAATCTGAATGCCAAGCTGAAGTTTAAAAAAACCAAAACACTCCCCAAACTAGAGGATGTTTGTGAGTATCAGAGAAATTTTTGGATTAAAAAATAAAACCCAAAGAAACAGAAAATCATAACGAGGCTTAATCCTTTCTAATATGCACTTACATAAACTGAACCTTTTTAGCATCAGGTGAAACCCAAAGAGATGATATGTTGTGCTTCTCTTCTGAGTCCTTGTGAATTAATGCTGAATTCTGAAAAATTAAAGACAAGCGTTAAGATTATTCGTTCATTTTTAGACATTTACTGAACTTGCTTCTTTGAAGGAAATGTCTTAACAGCAGCACTGGAGACAGAACTCCGGTTTACTTTTTGCAAGGTTACTGAGTAGTATATAAATAGGCAAAATAAAAATAGGTACTCCAGAAAAAGACAAAACAAGGCATTCAACAGCACTGTAATGCCCTCTCACATGCTCTTGATGTGAAACTCAGATGTGTTTTTCTGCATTGCTAGCGTTGTATAATAAAATATTCCCATTGTGTTTTCTGCAGAAGCTCATTATTGTGCTTTGCTTTGTGTCAGGACCATATAAGGGTTTTTTTCTGTCCTAGGTAAGGTTTCTTCTGTCCTTTGTAGAGATTAGGAAAAATGAGACTATTCCCCATGGGTCACATGGAGAGCTGGCCATGCTGCAAAACACTGTTTCTGTCAGTTTGAATTGCATCTCCCTAGGGTGCTGTCTTGCTTTCTTTTAAAGTGGTGCTAATGGCCCAGCCCTGGGGAATCACCATGGAGTCATTACCAAGCACACAGAACAGAATGCTACAAGGTTGGAACACTGAATGAAATCCAGTGGTTTGACGCAAACAAAATTATCCTTTCCCCTCAGGTGAACAGTTAACAAGATGCCTTTCCCACCCACTGCGTGATCCAGACCTTTGTACTCATAAGTACAGTGGTGCCTCGCAAGACGAAATTAATTCGTTCCACAAGTTTTGTCGTCTTGCGATTTTTTTCGTCTTGCGAAGCACGGTGTCGGGAAAGTTTTGGAAAAGCTTCAAAAATACCAAAGTCTTCAAAAACCTCAAAAAAGGCTACCACACCGCGTTCTATGAGTTGCTCCTCGAAGTCAAGTCACAACTGTATTAACGGTGTTAAGAAAAAGGAAACAAACTTGCAAGACGTTTCCGTCTTGCGAAGCAAGCCCATAGGGAAAATCGTCTTGCGAAGCAGCTCAAAAAAAAAAAAACCCTTTCGTCTTGCGAGTTTTTTGTCTTGCGAGGCATTCGTCTTGCGAGGTACCACTGTACAGATAAAATAAATGTCCCCATTTGCTACTGTACAGATAAAATAAATGTCCCCATTTGCTATTTGATTTTAAGAGGCTGAGCCCTGCAAAGGCAGCCCAGTGAGGACAACTGGGCATGTGCAGACACCATACACACCCTACTCAGGCTCACATAGTAAGAGAGTGGTGCCTGTTGTCGAAATGTTATTCCCTATTATAAACACATCCCTGCTTCATCCTCATTAAGTATAACAGCAGCTGTATTCATTCATAAATATATTGCAACGGTCCCAATATTTATTCTTGGGGAAAATCCAATGCTTATTTCCCGCTATTGCGAAAGTGATTTGCCGTTCTGGGGTTAAATCAAAGGTTGTCTTCCCTCTAGACAGCTCTGACTGATGTCCCACTAAGAATCCTTTTTCATGTAGCTTATTGTGTAATGTACCAGACAGATTTCCTCTAGATGGGACCAACAAATTCAACCATGTTAAATAGCCAAGCTGAAGGAGTAAACACGTACCGTCATGTTGTAACAGTCGTGGGTCTGTGTATTTGGATCTGTGACTTGAAACGAACCAACAGGGATGTTCTCATCAATGTCTCGGGCTTGTAGCATAAACCATTTAAATCCAGCTCCGGATGCTCCTTGTATGTCGACTGGAGAAACACAGAACATTAGAATCATAAGTGTAACATATTTTGCATTCTGTTTCAATAGTACTGACCATAATATATGGATGGTTGGCCTCACTTACGCCTCTCCACATTGCCTTAATTTCAGTAATATGGGACATTTTTAGCTGCCGTAGCTAAATCCATAATATTTCTATTAAAGCAGAAATAGGAGTTATGCAATGTATTTTCTGGTTTCCAAATTCCATTCCGGCAAAAAGACCAATGATGACATGGAGAAAATTCCCTGCTTCCACGACATATCAGTCGCTTATCAGAAGAATACAAGCACTATCATGAGTAATTTAAAACAGCCATTTTAAAGAAGCATCTCTATAATACCCCAATGCACAGGTTGTAAAAGCAGGAAAAATATGGACACTTTTAGGGAATTAAAGTTATAGTCTATTTTGCTATAGTAATTTGGCATACAAACCAACAAGTTGGTCTCATAAGACACATTATCTTCTCATAACTCACCATCCAACTTATTCCAGTCACCTTCTTTCCAAGAAAGTGTTCAGAATAAGAAGGATGGTGAACTATAGCAAAATTCGCAGAGAAAGAGAGGACGCTTATGTAACATACCTTTTATTTCACTTCCTGGGTCGTACACCTCTGATGGCACAGAAATGGAATAGGGCAATTCAGATTCCTGAGGCTGAGCTGGGTCGTCGGGCAACAGAGTTCCACAGTCTATTGAAAAATTCCTGTACGTAACGCTGAAGACTCTTGACATGAAGACGCCACAGAGCAGAAGCACAACCAAGTGGTACCTCTCCATCTTGAAGGGGAACGGAAAACAAGAAATAGGTGAGCAGAAGTCTAGTGACCAAAGCAGTAAAGGTACCCCTGACTGTTAGGTCCAGTTGCGGATGACTCTGGGGTTGTGGCACTCATCTTGCTCTATAGGCTGAGGGAGCCAGCATTTGTCCGCAGACAGTTTCCGGGTCATGTGGCCAGCATGACTAAGCCGCTTCTGACGAATCAGAGCAGCGCATGGAAACACCGTTTACCTTCCCACCGGAGCGGTACCTATTTATCTACAGTACTTGCACTTTGACATGCTTTTGAACTGCTAGGTTGGCAGCAGCAGGGACCGAGCAATGGGAGCTCATCCCATCACAGGGATTCGAACCGCCAACCTTCTGATCGGTAAGCCCTAGGCTCTGTGGTTTAGACCACAGCGCCACCCGCATCCCTATGACCAAAGCAGTAAGCAAACACAAATGGCACAACTCTCATAGTAGCCAACCTCTTGGGTCAAAGTACGAGGTGATGTCACTCTGATACACTACAGTACACCTGGAGCCCACCATGGGCCAGGGCAATTTTGGCAGTAAGTAAAGGGCTGGAGTGGAAGCTGTCATTTTATTGAGGGGCCCGAGGAAACATAGAGAAGTGGTCTAAGCAGAGACAGTATGGTGTCATTACAACAGCTTCAACCTCAGACTGAGTCCTACCAGAACCTTTCTGGTCTATCTTGTGTTCAGAGCAAGCTTTAATTCTACATAACATCTCAGCTGGAACTAGTCCAGATTCTAGTATCCTAGAACCACTAGGAAAACACAGAGTGTGCTATGTCAGTTGTGGTACCTTGCATTGCAGGTTGCCCACTCACACTACAGGATGTTGATAACAAAACACCCTGCACAGGCATCATCTTTCAGGTGGCTCATCTGTACGCAATATCTATTCTGCATAGCCATCAAGCCTGACTGTCCTGATTAAGAAGGTGGCTGAGGGTGTTGTCATATGTCAAGTTTAAATTGGCTTGCCCTGAAATCAATGCCTAATGTGAATGCAAAACTGGCAATGACCAGAACAGGCATTCCATTTCTCCTTCTCAGCTTATTGCCTTTGAACAACAATGGCACAAATGCCAGCCACCAAAGATAGTGCAAGCAGCAAATTGAGCAATACATTAAAAATATGTGATTTTTATTAAATAATCAATATTGCGTGGACAGGCGGAGTCCCCAGATCCCACGCGGTCCCCCCGTCATGTGGAATAACGACTCAAGACAACGTGCTATGGGATTAAATTGGCCACAACTTTATTAAATTTCAAATGTGGGTAGACCTTTGCTCAGGCATTGGGCGTTCTCCCTCCCCAGTCCCCAGCCTAGGGAGCATCAGGGTTATCCAGTGTGTGTGGGGGGGATGGGCCGGCTCTGGAGAACATATGTTCAAGCAGAGATAGCCGCCCCCGTAACGCCGCCGCCGCAGGAGAGAGCAATGATGACCTTTCGGCGTACGGTCAAAGCCTCCCTTCAGAAAACCCCTTTAAGGGGAACCCTGGTATCGCCGCCGCAAAGAGGAAGATGGACAAAAGGATTCCGCCCAAGGCCTGATACCGCCAAAGTTGTGACGTTTTGCTACGGGAAAGGCGAAACCTGCCAATGCAGGGAAATTCCTTTCCAGCCCTTTAACAGCGACCTTAACGTAGCAGCGCCCGCATACCTGTGAAGAAAAGTTAACCTGCAAAATAAGACATTAACTGAGGGTGGGTAGGGTGGGAGAAGCTCTGGAGCCAAGTGAGGATTCCCAGGTAAGATCCTCTCTCTATTGTGTGGGCAGGTAATCCCTCCCCTACCTGGCCTGGTCTCCTTGGCAACGCTTCCCCCAGGTGGGATTGGACAACTGACTGATGTAGGCAGAGACCTCCAGGTATCCCACCTGAGGGAAGGCAAAGCCAAGCCTATGCTGATGGAGCCGCTCCAGATCTAGGGGCTGCACGCGTCCACGCAAAGGGCGCCCCCCCGTTTTAAGCGGGGAGCGGTCATTAAGGGAATAGGAAATCAGCAAATGTAGTAGCAGTTTAACTAGAGGATAGAAAAGGGGTCTGCTTAGTGGGACAAATCCCTAATTTCCGCAACAACCTTTGAAAGCTGGGCAGAACGACTCCCCAGTTATTATTATTATTATTTCTATACTGCCCTATACCCGAAATCACCAGCCATCATAATGACACCAAGTGATTGACACCTGTCAAATTCAAAGCAGCTACTGATCAACCGAAGCCCATTTGTGGGAAGTGATTTGGATTCAACAGTGTGCATCTTTTTACCCCAAGAAGGTTTTGTAAGAAAGCTGGACAGGATATTTTTTTTAAAGAATGCTGTGGTTTCATAACAGCCTTCTCTAAGTTGTTAATCACATTGCCTTAACAATTATGACTGCTTTCACCTTTTGCATTATGTGTGCAGTAAATCCACCAAAATCTTTTAACACATAAATCAACCCAACTTGATGTTTCACCTTAAGTGAACGCAGTGGCGTAGCGTGGGTTGTCAGCACCCGGGGCAAGGCAAGTAATTTGTGCCCCCTAACCCGTGGAGCCAGGTAGGGGCAGAGAGCTGCGAGTGCGAGCGCCCCCCCCCAGATGTTGCGCCCAGTGCGGCCGGCCCCCCCTGCACCCCCCACGCTACGCCATTGAGTGAACGATCCTCTTTTCTGTTTTCCTGATTCTTATTTATGAGGACTCACATCAGCTGAGAACCTGCACTGACAAGTTTGATTCAGAGCTCAGGGCATATTAATTTCCTTTAAAGGATTCAATTCATACTCGGCATCACCTGATTCTTCCCATACCCACTGGAAAGCTACTCTCACATCCTTCATTTAATACTCCAGGGCCTGACAATGAGCATAGCCACACTTCCTCTTGTCCTGCTGCTTCCCGCCCTCCACTGGGGGAAACCACTCAGTCAGAGCAAATGGCAATTCGGGTTTTCTCCGGATTGACGTCTGCTCTGAGTTAGCACTAAAGAGTGGGTTTTCCCTGGGAAAGGAGCGGGCAAGGGGAAAACTGCTCAGACTCTTGCTTTCTAGGCACAGGAGAAGCAGAAGTGTGGACAAGCCCAATGTTCAACATTCTGTTGCTTTTTAGGTACAATTTTTCAGATGGACAGATCCACGCAGGCTTATGGAGGAAGTGGATTTTGCACACGTAGGGTAAACAGTGGGGTTTTCCTGGGAAAAGCAGTGGGACAAAAGATCAACATTATGGACCCATGCCTAGAAATCATGGGTGATGCCTAGAAAACCTGGATGAGCCTTTATTCAGCATACTGGATGTACTCAGTATTGCATTCACTCATTACATCTGAAGAAGAAGAAGAAGAAGAAGAAGAAGAAGAAGAAGAAGAAGAAGAAGAAGAAGAAGTAGTGGTGGTGGAGGAGGAGGAGTTTGGATTTGATATCCCGCTTTATCACTACCCTAAGGAGTCTCAATGCGGCTAACAATCTCCTTTCCCTTCCTCCCCACAACAAACACTCTGTGAGGTGAGTGAGGCTGAGAGACTTCAGACTAGCCCAAGGTCACCCAGCAGCTGCATGTGGCGGAGTGGGGAAGCGAACCCAGTTCACCAGCTTACAAATCCACCTCTCTTAACCACTACACCACACTGGCTGCCACATGGTCCCTAACTGGAGCCTGTGTCAATTCCCCTGACTGTCCACATGGGGAACAAGGGGGGCGGCTTTTTTTAGCAGGACCTGCAAAGGAGACACTGCTTGCCAAGTCCCTGTGCAATGTCCACACAAGGTTCTACATTTTCAAGGTGGAGGAAAGTTTCCTGAAGCAAAGCGAAAGGAATTCACTTGCTGTCGGATCCTACAAAAATCACAAAGCAGCATATCATTTATTTTTTGCACGTAGCAGCAATATAGAACCAATGTTAATGGCAAGGGATGCGCTGGGTCCAATGAAGGCACAGCTCTATGTTATATACGGGAGGGGCGGGCTAAGCCTGCTCCCTAGTGGCCCATGCCCACTTGTGATTTGCTGATTAGGTGATCGGGCGGGACTAGTTACCTAGGCAGCAAGCTTAATCCCAGAGGCTTCCTTTGCTGCCTAGGAAATGGTCCCTGGGACTTCCCATGTTGGATCCCAGTGCGCACGGGAATGGCAGCCCGCAATGGCACCCATCAGAGAGGGTGAGTGGACACAGAACCACCAATAAAGACAATGAATGCTGTGGATATCAGTGGGCTGCAGATGGCTTCCATGATATAGCTGAACGCCAGCAACTTTTCATGTTCCAAATCACAGGAAAAGAAGGACATAGAAGTCGTTTGCACTTTTTCTTTGTAATTTCTGAAATGAGTGCTTTCTTAACGGGTGCAAGATTTTAAACCACCAAGAGATTGATGCATCTATTGTGGCATGAGTTTTAGTCGGCAGAAACCTACCCCCATGAGACGGATGACATGAAGGAGATGGTGAAAGTGCTGGATATAGACCCATGTGCACCTACATAAACACACAGAGGGGCCCAGTTTGCAAAAATGTTTGCAAAGGGCACGAATAACAAAGGCAGAATCATCGTACGTGAGTCGATCAACAGAAGTAAAGCAAACTCGGATCAGTGAGGGGCATCAACAAGATCTAGGTGGGACCAAGCCCATCTTCTGAGCCCCATTTCGGATATTACAAAGGAGTATGGGTGAGTTGTGCTTCCCCATCCCCTGCTTAGCACCACTTCGGCAAGTTCAAATCCCAAAGCTAGCAAAAGCAAGGTCCATGGGCTGCTGGAGTCTTCTGGCAGCTGTGTTTTAGGTTCACAAGCTTAAGTGACAACAGAAACCAAGCAGCCATGGGAACAAGTCACAGTGTCAGCAGAAAAAGGAGGAGGTTGCAGAGGCTGTGATGAAAGAACTGAGTCATGCCAGGGGAACAGCCCAGGAGGACCTGCTTAAGCTTTGCCGTTGTCACAATCGATGCAAGGTAGTGAGCAATCAGACGCCTGGAGGAACAATGACCATCCCTATGAAACAAAAGGGATGGAGACTGTTTCGCTCTCAGGTGCCAAGGGAACTCATTCACATGGGATGTTCCGCATGGATTTATGTTCAGGTATCAGTGTGGTAGGTGTGGCTGCTCGCTTTCCTGTGGGTATATCCACTTGACCCACCTCTAATTAAATCTTAAGTACGGCATGTGGGTGCCGCTCTTTTAAGTGCTGTGATAAACAGCGATTTCGTATGAGCTAGTCTCTGTGTTGTTGAGATCTTTCCCTCTGACTCATAACTCCTAAGTAATGAGCCGCTCTGTTCTGTTCTGAAATGTGGCATTTAAATCGGACAGGTTTGGGAAATGGGAGTTTTGAAATGATTCTAAACCTGAACTTTGTACTATCTTCCTTCCTTCTTGACCTGGAGGTGAAGGAGCAAAACACAACATCCCTGACCAGATTCCGCTGAAAGGACCACTTCATTTACTGCAGTTGTTGGTGTGTGGGTTTGTTTAGGTGAGTATAACCTAAGATGGGTTAAGAGTACACATAAAAATGTGAAGCGTAAATGTGAGAAACGTCAGCATCATTTCAGCTGGCATTTGTTGCATTTTACATGTGCAGTTAGCATTTGCTTGTTCTGGTCCTGCAGGGACATGGGGGGGGGCAGAGGACCTTGTGTCCTTGTTCTTCTCCAAGCAATGGGCTGGACTGGAGGAGGAGAAGAAGAAGAAGAAGAAGAAGAAGAAGAAGAAGAAGAAGAAGAAGAAGAAGAAGAAGAAGAGTTTGGATTTGATATCCCGCCTTTCACTCCCCTTCAGGAGTCTCAAAGCGGCTAACATTCTCCTTTCCCTTCCTCCCCCACAACAAACACTCTGTGAGGTGAGTGGAGCTGAGAGACTTCAGAGAAGTGTGACTGGCCCAAGGTCACCCAGCAGCTGCATGTGGAGGAGCGGAGACGCGAACCCGGTTCCCCAGATTACGAGACTACCGCTCTTAACCACTACACCACACTGGCTCACTGGAGAAGCAATTGCCCATTCTACCCAAAATGGAAAGGAAACTCAAGTATGGCTAAGAGAGCTTGATTAGTGCATGACTGTTTGGCCATACAGAAGAGTACAGAAGAACCAGGATTATATTCCAAATTAAGACGTGGGGAATTATTTCCCTCTGCAAATCCATATGCCTGACCAACTTTCCAAATCACTTCATGAATCTGATGGAGTTTTCTGTAGATCTCAAATATTTATGTCACAATAAATGTGATTGACTCTTAAGTTCACCTCCGGACGATCGGTATTTTTGCGGTAGGGATTCGATTGCACGGCAGATACTAAGTCTTGCACAATTAAAATGGATTAAAATCCTGTGGCGCAACAAATCTCCACTCCCTTTTTTTAAAAAAGGTCTTCTTGGTGTTAGGAAAGCAAAGTGCACCAAAAAGGATAGGATAGTGACTGGTTGATGGGAAGACATACAACTTCCCTGCAGGGAAACCAGGATTGAATGCTCTGTTAAAGGTGGACATTGTATAATCTCCATGCAAGCTTTGTGCCAGCAAATCAGGATGAGTGTTCATTAAACAGGAGTCCTAAGATACCACAGGCCTTTTGATTATATTTGCTACAACCAGCTCAACCCTGTTTTATACCATTGCCAATTCCAGAACCTCGAAATTCTTCGTTGTTCTTTCCAGAACTCTTGAAGAGGCAGGATGTCCCATGCTCAGGTTTGCTAGGCTGGCTGCTGTGGTAGGTGAGGGTGGCAGCAAGTGGTTTGCTATGTGCCCACTCTTGCGGAGGACATAGCATTGGGCAGGATCTCAATCACAGGGATGGGGATCCCAATGTTGGGTCTTGAGGTGATGCACCAAGCAGCCAATCATAGCTCTCTTGGAGCTTAGCCTGGTGTCACTCAACTCAGGTTGCCAGCGGGATCCCGTGCATGACTTGCACCATGTTAGATCCTCCCCACTGGTTAACTCCCATGACATTCCTCAGCTGGCATTCTGGGATGGGTTTTCTGTGAAAAGAACATCAGATGTTCGCAGGAGAGAACATGCCATGCCAACCCCACAATTATGTTTTGGCCTATTTTAACCCACACGTATGTTTTGGGTCCTATTGTAGCCTTGCCTTGCCTCTGGAGCAGCTTAATGTGCCTGCCCCACAACTCCTGCACTCCCTCAGCTTTTTCTCACAGCAGCGCCACAAGCCACTTCACCTCAGGAAAACGTCTGTAGATGTTCTCATGGCTGCCATGTCCTTCATCTTCTCAACTTTGTGCACCAATGACCTCAGGTCTATCAACTGCCCTTCAGACCACTCAGCCTTATTAAAGCAATGTAATCTTTCCCTCTTCTCTCTTTCCCTTTCAGCTTCTGCTTTCATGTGCAAACAAACAACAACACCATAGCAGCCTTTCCCAGTCAATTTTATTTTGTCAGTGATGCTGCTTGAGGAGGGGCTGCAACCAGGGCAGGAAGGAAATATAAAACCAAAACTCCTTTGCACATCGAAACATCCCTGACTGGGGCAACCACAGTAAACCTTCTCTCCAGACTTCTACCACATTCTGCCCTCACAATTACCCAAGAGATTGCTGCTGCCCATGCTGGGCACTGTCAACACGGTCAAAATTAAAGTTGCACTGAGGGACATAAGGACACAAGAAGGACCTGCTAGATAAGGCCAAAGGACCGTTTGGTCGAACATCCTGTTCTCACAGTAGCCAACCAGGTGCCCATACCAAGTCCACTAGCAACTTGAGTACAACTTGCATTCTCCCTACCTGTGGCTTCCAGCAACTTGTATCCAGGAGGATATTGCCTCTGACAGTGGAGGTAGAACATCGCCACCAGAGTTGGAACCCCAGATTCTCATTTGTTTGCTTCACATGTTTACCAACCTTGGGTCATACAATTAACAGGTGAGGTGGTATCTACAGTCTATGTTCCACTTCAAATTGCATAGCCAGGGGCTAAATGCCCCTCCATATGCAAATTTTATTTATTTATTTATTTATTATTTATGCATGCCCCGCCCATCTGGCTGGGTTTCAGGATAAAAAGTTTCTCGTTCCCCACACCAAATTTTTTATTGATAAGCAAGACAATGGAAAACACAACTAGGGTTGCCCTCAGTCTCACTTGAAGCTCTTCCTCTCTGTTTGAAAAGATCTCTATCCATATTCTGCAAATATATAATAATTTTTTTATACTATACTACACTGAAATATCCTTCCTTTGATTGTCCTTAATCTTCCTGCCACACTTGACATCGTCTCTTGCCACACCAGTCTGGCTTGCCAAACCCTTTGAGAAACACTGACACACAGTTTGCACAGACTGAGGTCTTAACACAGCTGGAACTAATCCACAAATGGTTGTGTTTTTCCATTATAAAAAATAGGAATCTTGTGCAAAGATACCAAGTGGATATCCTATGCACAAAGTTATCATGTATATCTTTTGCATAATGTTACAAAGGATGTTTGGAGATTAAAAAAAATAAAATTTTGGACTTTTTGATTCAGGCCTGAAAATAAATGTTAACCACAAGGAAATGGGTGACATTCACATGGAAATAAATGTATCCAGAATTTCAGAAAAAACTATTACAGAAGGAGAGACTACAGACATTGAATTGGCCAAACTGTGCAAATGGGAAATAGATGCTGTACTATATTTTGTCCTTGTATTGAAAGCATTCCGAGTCTTATTGCCCTCAACCACAGACAGCACTGTCAAATCATTTACCCAAAGCATCCAACCACTTATAATTTAGCATTACTTCATAGCAATATATATGCTTACATATACAACAGCCTCAGCTGCATTAGAAAATTTCATCCCTATGGAGAAAACCTAAATAAGAGCACCTTCAAGAAGCAAAAGAAGCCACATGCTTTTTTTGTTTTTGACATTGTCCCAATTGCATATTTCTCAGCCAGATTTCTACCCAGCTCCAGTATTTCTTAGCATAGCACATCCTTTCCCTTTAGGAATGAAATCACTCTAGAATATCCCATTAAAGCAAACTGCGGTGACAAAGGGAGCAGGTGAAACCTCTCCTCCTCCTCTCCTCCTCCTCCTTCCCACAAATTCCAACCAACACACCTTGTTTCTGGAGTGCAGATCAGCTGTGAGCAACCCCTGTGGTCAGTGTGCAGCAAGTGTACAGCCCTGGAGTGCAACAGCTGAGCTAAGAATGGCAAGGAAAGCCTATCAGAGGTGGGTGGATACACCAATCACAAGCAGGGCGGAGAAAGGAAGCCAGCCAATCACAGACACTGGTATCACCTCCTCAACAATTAGGACAGAGCAGGTGGAATCCTCCATCAAAGTGTGGCAATAGCCATGCGCGCTGTTCATGACTCACTCCTTCTCTGACCTTAAAACCACCTGTGTTGAAACTGGGAGATTTAAAAATGGAGCCTAGGGAGAGATTTGTTTCCAGCCAAGGCTTCTGGTTGGAATCGAAGAGAAGGTAACAGGAAACCCAAGTGTTTACATATTTTGTTAGCATCTCAAATGAAAAATCATTTTGAACTTGCATCTCTAGGCAAGCATCTTACTGTTGTTGTTGTTGTTTAGTCGTTTAGTCGTGTCCGACTCTTCGTGACCCCATGGACCAGAGCACGCCAGGCACCTCTGTCCTCCACTACCTCCCGCAGTTTGGTCAAACTCATGCTGGTAACCTCAAAAACGCTATCCAACCATCTCGTCCTCTGTCGCCCCCTTCTCCTTGTGCCCTCCATCTTTCCCAGCATCAGTGTCTTCTCCAGGGAGTCTTCTCTTCTCATGAGGTGGCCAAAGTACTGGAGCCTCAGCTTCACGATCTTACTGTTACTACAGCATTACTGTGAAGTGAAGAATAGGATACATTTGGGCTTCCCCCTTTCTTGTGTCCAAATTAAAATCTATGTTTATATTAAGCTGATTGTATGTCATGAAGTCGGGGGGCGCGGGTGGCGCTGTGGGTAAAAGCCTCAGCGCCTAGGGCTTGCCAATCGAAAGGTCGGCGGTTCGAATCCCCGTGGTGGCGGGGTGCGCTCCCATTGCTCGGTCCCAGCGCCTGCCAACCTAGCAGTTCGAAAGCACCCCCGGGTGCAAGTAGATAAATAGGGATGGCGGGAAGGTAAACGGCGTTTCCGTGTGCTGCGCTGGCTTGCCAGATGCAGCGATGTCACACTGGCCACGTGACCCGGAAGTCTCTCCGAACAGCGCTGGCCCTCGGCCTCTTGAGTGAGATGGGCGCACAACCCTAGAGTCTGTCAAGACTGGCCCGTATGGGCAGGGGTACCTATGTCATGAAGTCACTTCAGGAAAATTTACCAAAGGATAAATTTCATATAAAGGAAAGGAAAGGAAGGGAGAAAATTAATATTTACAGGCAACATGACACAGGCCTATAAACTTTTTTAAAAAATAAATATTGTCAGGCCTAGGGGTTTGCAGACAGTGGTTTGCAGATCACTTTAAACCACAGTTAAGGTTAGCTATGATTTAAAAATGAGTGTGTGGCATTCTGGTACATGAGGCTAAAATTGTGGCTGTTTCCAGGGGCAGAGGAAGGGGGTGCAGTGGGGGCGGGACACCCCAGGTGTCACCACTGAGGGGGGTGACAAAATGTCGGGTGGCACTCTGCAGCGCACCTGAGTCACGCATTTCTCCTGGGAGAGACGCGGTGGCTTGGGCGCACACAGGCTCCACACTGCCCAAACGGTTCGCCCACTGCCTCCCCCCCCCCAGCTGTAGGGCGGCTGAGTGGGAGGAGGCAGGCAGACTCTGGAGGCCCCACCCTCACCCCTCCCTCGCCCTGCCCCTATGGCTGGCTGTTTCACTTCTTTCCTACAGTTGTAGTGCTGCCACAAGCTAACCTATGGTTTGGCTTGGGGTTATGTCCAAAACTGGGCTCATGGTTTGTTTCTGCACCCCTCCAAACAAACCATAGTCAGTAATCCAAGAACAAACCTTGGGTATAGATCATAGTTATTTTGCAGAGAGACTAACCACAAAATTTTGAATGTAACACTAAATCAAGCCATGGTTTGGCTCCTGACAGGATATGGGGAGGAGCAAAGAAGCCGCCATGTACCAGCACTCTGCATGTTCACATTTAAACTGTGTTTAACTTCTGCTTTAAAGTGATGTGCAAATTAGGCCAATGTCACCTTGAAAATGAATTTTTTTAAAAAAGCTATATTCACTTTGTGGAAAAAATTGCAACAAGTTGTTAAAAAAGAAATCGTGATGATCAATAAGAAATTATGCTCCCTCACCCTCAAAAACCCCAATGCAAGGAATTCTAAAGGCATTAAACACAAATAGGTATATACGGTAGTTAAGAAAAATAAGGCATGGCTAGAACAAGAAATGTAGAGACAGCAACAAGTTAACTGCAGTTAAGTAATTAAAGATATCAGATTGCCAGCAGTTTCAAAATTAGCTGGCAAAAAAATAAGCAAAGCTCCTCCTGCCCAAACACTACCAAAATCTCCTGGTAGAAGCAAACCCAGGATTGCTTCTTTGCCCAAATCCTGCTAGAGGCTGCTAAACATTCATGAATCCGTAGCTGAAATGCGAATTGCATGAGTAAATGGGTGCTACTTATATGATTCCCTAGATCAAGACAACAGCTTGGGAAGGGGTGAGTAGTAGTGTTCGAATTATGTGGCAGAGGTGGCTTAGTGAAACCCACAAGACTCCAGCCTCCCCACACAATATTCCCAAATCATGCCTCTCCTCCGTGACCTTCTAGAAGCAATAGGTAAAGGAGACCATTAGGGTACAGGGGGCTCGATCCTGTCTCCCCTGCCCTAGGCAATTCAACCTCTGATTATAAGAAAAGGTGGAATTCTGCCAATAAACAGCTTAAGGAAGAGGGATACTGGGTTTAATTGCATCCGCTCTGCTAATTGGAGACAGTCTGGTGGTTCCTGATACACACACAATCTCCTGGGTTGGGACCAATATTTGGGTGTCCACTTCTGCACTGCCACAAAAGAGGAAATGCGTCACCAAGGGAGAGCACAGGGCTGCACACAATTTCCACATGCTAATTTATTAATATATGGGCAAACTTAGAAATAATTCCTCTAATTTAAATACAATGAAGCTCGCCATAGTTGTGTGAGCTGGTCACCAGCCTACTGTCCCAGCATGAATGTCAATAATAATAATAATAATAATAATAATAATAATAATAATATTATAATTAATAATAATTTTATTATTTATATCCCACCCATCTCTCTGGGTTGCTCAGGCCGCTCTGGGTGGTTTCCAACATATATAAAAACATAATAAAACATCAAATATCAGAAACTTCCTGAGGTCAGGCAGTAGAAGGGACAGCTTGAAAAGTCTGGGGGCGTGCACAGAAAACTATAAATCCCAGCCTAAATTACTGTATGAAATACTTCTAGCAGCAGACAACTACATTCACGCACAGTCTTAAGGTTAATAGCAAAGTGACAAACAGAACACAACAGACATTCAGGGAAGTAAAAGTGCAACTATTTACCCCACCATTAATTTAGTAGAAAACAATAGCATTTTTGGTTACCAAAATATGTGGCATGCCACGTTTCATGGGTAACAGGCTAATCAATTTGCTGAAGCTAAGAATTACAGAAAGCATAACCTTTATAATATCTCCTTGCACAAGTTCCCCGCTCTGCCTTATGGTTCTTTGCCTTCAAAAATGGACTTGCACCAGACTACCATTCAAACAGAGGACTTCTTTAAACAGAGCACTGTCTGTTATCGTTCTCATGGAATCACAGGTTTTTAGAGCTGGAAGGGAACACATTCAGTTCCCACAGGAATCTTTTGCCCAATGTTGGGTTCAAACCCACGACCCTGAGACTAAGAGTCTCATGCGCTACCAATTGCGCTATCCCAGTCTCTGTCCTCTAACAGCTCTTTAAACGAAGGATTCTCCTCTGTCGAGAAAAACACATGGCCACCCCAGCCTAGACATCAAGGCTGTGGAACCTTGGGCACTCCAGGTTTTGTTGGACTACGACTCCCATAAGCCAAGGCTATTGACTATGCTGATTGAGGTTGATGGGAGATGTAGTTCTGTAACATCTAGAAGATGTTACCTGGTTCCCCATCCCAGATATATACTATTTAACTTCTTTGTATGTGTGTGTGCGCGCACACAAACACACACACACACACACACACATATCGGTATGCACCTTACAAGCCATTAGTCAATCATTTTGGTGAATTCTCTTCAAACCCATGTTAGCTGCAAACATATACAGTGGTACCTCAGGTTAAGAACTTAATTCGTTCTGGAGGTCTATTCTTAACCTGAAACTGTTCTTAACCTGAGGTACCACTTTAGCTAATGGGGCCTCCCGCTGCTGCTGCGCTGCCGGAGCACGATTTCTGTTCTCATCCTGAAGCAAAGTTCTTAACCTGAAGCACTATTTCTGGGTTAGCGGAGTCTGTAACCTGAAGCGTATGTAACCTGAAGTGTATGTAACCCAAGGTACTACTGTAATATTTACCATGGGGTGGGGTTACTAGAGAAGCAAAAGTGGGAGGGAATGGACACTACAAGAAACCATCCTTCTTTCACACCAACTCTTTGAAGAAAAAGTATAACACATTTCCAATGCTGAGTATTGACCATTCTCCTCTTTGGGAGTTTTGAATGACACCACAAAGCTGAAGGATTCAACTAAGTCAGTGTTGGGTCTCCAGCTGTTTTTGGAGTACAGTTCCCATTACCCCTGACCACTGGTCCTGATAGCTATGGATGATGGGAGTTGTGGTCCAAAAACAGCTTGGGAAACACTGAAGTAAGTTGTTCAAGTGGAACGAGGTCCGCCCATGCAAGGAGACGTTTCCCTTCTCTTCTCCCCACGTGTGTGCCCCTAAATCGGCTCTGGGGGGTTGGAGGAAACCCCAGGACAAGTTATGGGGACGCAGTGGCAGGAGAGGTGGGGGAAGTCCTACAGTGTAGACAGACCTCATTCTGCTCATACATACCCCAATTTAAACACTCTAATTCCACCCATTGAACTAAATACATTGCAGACGTCACTAACATCACAATACAGTATTGTATTTCGGTCCCCAGTGTCATCAGCATCACCACCAAAGGAGGTGTTGAAAGGAGGTGTTGGGAGACGGATGGTGCAAGCCTATTTGCTGTGACATCCATGAGACAGCT